GATTCGGAAAAGTGCACGGAAGTGCCCTTGAACACCTTGTACCATGTAGTGCACCAAATTGAGTCCTTGTACTTTTTTGGGCTGTTTTGATTTGAATATTATACTTCTAATCACCATACCCTTGGACTTACCTGTTTATTTGTTCTTGCACTTCCTTTTATTTGTACTAGAATATAGAGTTTTGCGGTGCAATAAAAAGCAAAAACTTGATATGTCCTATCATATGAGAGGTTTTTGGAGTCTTAGGAAGGCAACGGTTACTGTAATCTTTGGGGAGCTGTGCTGGTTTTTTGTAGACTTGTAGGGTTGCAGCTTTTGGCGTAGATGTGTACATACATCCGTCAGATCTGCGCCTTTATCGTTGTTGCTGCCTAACTTACATCATAAAGATATTGCTCAAAGTGTGGGGCTCCGATGTTGACGAAACTTGGCACAAATTTAGAGTAATACCTTGTCAGGCATGAGCAAATTTCCCAGCTCGCGATTATCAGAAGCCGGTGAGATTTTAAGCCTTATATTTAATCAAGAGTTCGCCGACTTCTGGCCGCTTTGTACATGAAAAATGTCATCCTTCTTTCCACCGGAGAGGAGTACTTGCCCTCAAAAAAACCAATCTATTTATCGAGAAATTGCCGAAGATATGGCATATCCAGGACTCTTGGCTCACGCCTTGCAACATCGACAGGGGTTTTCTGGTCCAAAGTGGGCAAAAATGCAAAAATTTCTTGTGGATTTAAAAAAAGATTTACACCAATTTTCTGCCGTAGAGGGAAACTACCTGCTTCCATAAAGACTAATTTTTTTCCCCACAAAAACTGGCAAAGATATGACCAAAATGTGTTTTTTTTCTCTGTGATCGCTCTCCGCGCTTCGCGTACTCTTTCGGCCGCAAAGACCGTTCAATATCTCGGCTTCCCTTGCAAAGCGCGAGCTATTTTCCTTAAAATTAATATGTGGACAAAGCTCAATTTGTGTGAAAGTCTTAATGAAAATCTTTTAGCTAGCGTTTAGCCAAAAAATCGGCTCTATCGCTTACAAAATCGAACGCTGTGGATCAATTTTGGCCCTTTTTGCTTAATTTTAGCTCCTCGTGTCTCGTATTTCGTATTGTTTTCCCCAGTTTTTTCCAATTCACCACACTCCCAAATTAACCTTCACCTTGTGTGCGGATCGCAGCCCTTTCGGTCATTTAATCCCACCCTTCGAACAGGGGATTAACCCCGCAGGTAAAACGAAGATCCAAAGACGAGAAAAGAAGGAGAAAAAAAAGTTTCCCCGTTCGATGACAAAACCGGTAGCGAGGCAATCAACCGCGATTTCTCGGCGGTCCAGTCCGTTTGTTCTTGCGCTAGGGAAGAAAGTTTCCTTTTTTAATTTTTTTGGACTTTTACAGTGAGATTTGGCCAAATCGGGATAAAATAATAATTTTGTGGCCCAGATATGGCCAAAAGGGCTTCATACGCCAGAAATCGATTTTTTAATTGGCCAAACTATAAAAAACGATTTTTTTGCACTGTGCAAGTAAAACGAGTTATGGCACCGTGCAACTATTTTTTTTACAAAAAAATTCACCTTTTCTAAAAAAAATTTTTTAATTCCACTGCACTGTGCGACCGCCGATAGTTGCTTTTTGCACCGTGCAAAATTTATTTTGTCTTTTTTTATCATGTCGCACCGTGCGGATACAATAAATTGCGGCTTGCACTGTGCGGGAAATTGATTAGTCATTGCACAGTGCATAAAATCTTTTTTGGGTTTTTTTGCACGGTGCAATTTTTTTTGTTTCTCCCGCACTGTGCAAAAAGTGAGAAGCTTCATTGCACTGCACAGTGCAGATCTTTTTTTTGTTTTTCCCGCACCGTGCGAAAAACCAAAAGTTTCGTTGCACCGCACAGTGCAAATTTTTTTGTTTTCCCGCACTGTGCAAAAAAACAAAGGTTATTTCGCACCGCACAGTGCAAAACTCTTGAATGCAACAAAGCAAACTTTACACTGTGCGGAAAAAAAATATTTTTTTACGCACCGTGCCCAAATAAATTTTAAAGGATGATCCAAATTATTTCCACTAACGGCTAGACACTTTATTATGTTATGTTTGCTCATCAAGTGCTAATATTTGGCCAAAATCATATTTATTCGACACTTCCATACCTAACGTCCAGTGCAAATAAAGCGCTCGTATTACTATTAGCCAGAAATCTAAATCCTTATTTTTTCCCGCAAACAAAAAAGTGCTGACAACTGGAATAAGTGTGATAGATGCTGATAACAATAGAAAAAATCAAGATCTTATATAAAAAAACTGCACTGTGCATTTTTTCGACCTAAAAGAAAACGCACGGTGCACACAAATTTTTTCTATTTTTCCGCATAGTGGAGATTTTAAAATCCAAAAAAATGCACGGTGCAAAAATTTATCATAATTTTTTTTTACTGTGCAGTTTTTCCAAATCCTAAAATCGCACTGTGCAGTTTTTCAAAATCCTAAAAAACGCACTGTGCAGTTTTTCTAACGCCAAAAATTGCACTGTGCAGTTTTTTCAAATCCTAAAATCGCACAGTGCAGTTTTTCCAAAGCCCAAAAAACGCACTGTGCAATTTTTCCAACGCCCAAAAATTGCACTGTGCAGTTTTTCCAAAGCCCAAAAACGCACTGTGCAATTTTTTGAAATCCCAAAAAACGCACTGTGCAGTTTTTCTAACGCCCAAAAATTGCACTGTGCAGTTTTTCCAACTCCCAAAAACGCACTGTGCAGTTTTTCCAAAGCTCAAAAACGCACTGTGCAGTATTTCCAAATCCTAAAAAAACGCACTGTGCAGTTTTTCCAAATCCAAAAATCGCACAGTGCTGTTTTTCAAGGCTCAAAAAACCGCACTGTGCAGTTTTTCTAACGCCCAGAAATTGCACTGTGCAGTTTTTCAAACGCCCAAAATTGCACTGTGCAGTTTTTCTAACGCCCAAAATTGCACTGTGCAGTTTTTCTAACGCCCAAAATTGCACTGTGCAGTTTTTCCAACTCCCAAAAACGCACTGTGCAGTTTTTCAAAATCCTAAAAAACGCACTGTGCACTTTTTCTAACGCCCAAAAATTACACTGTGCACAGTGCAATTTTGTCCACAGCTGTGCAGTTTTTCGAAAGCCCCAAAAACCGAACCGTGCAAAATTTTTTTCGTTATTTTTCCGCGCTGTGCATTTCAACGGTTCCAAAAAACTCGGACAGTGCGACGAAAAGTTCAGCGATCACATTGCATTCGATAAAAAAAGTAGACAAAAAACTTCTCACAAGATAATTACTCCTTTTTTCCACCGTTTGTCGTGATATCCGGTTGATTTGATTAGCCGCGGACAAAGTTGTGTTCCCCGCCGAAAATTAGCATAATCTCTGTTTGTTTTAAAGAGCGCGCTGCAAAGCGAAGCGATGGGCGGCGGTTTTATTGGGGGATCCGCACAAAACGGGATTTCCAATGCCAGAAATCGAAGCGATTTTTATGTTACTATCTCATTATGGGAGTTGTCACAGTCCGAAATAGCGGAGATTAATGGAAAAGCGGGTTTGGGAGAGGCTTTGTTCCAATTTTCGTTTTTTTTTTTTTTTGGTTTGCACGGTGCAAAAAAATATTTTTAAAAAGTGACTGTACCGTGCAAAAATTTTCTTTCTGGAATTTGACCGCACCGTGCAAAGTTTTTTCCGAAAAATTTATTGCACGGTGCAAAAAAATTTTTTAAAAAGTGACTGCACAGTGCAATTTTTTAACATTTGACGGCACGGTGCAAAAAAACGTGAGCTTGAAAAATAATTGCACAGTGCGAAATTTCTTTCTAATATTTGACTGCACTGTGCAAAAAAAACATTTCGAAAAAATGAGTGCACAGTGCAAAAATGTTTAGTAATAAACTGACTGCACAGTGCAAAAAAATGTTTCTAATAATAAAAAGTGGCTGCACAGTGCAATTTTTAAATATTTGACTGCACAGTGCAAAAAAATATTTCTAAAAAGTGCAATTTTTTTCCGAAATTTAACTGCACTGTGCAAAAAAAAATATTTCGAAAAAATGAGTGCACAGTGCGAAAATTTTTAGTAATAAACTGACTACACAGTGCAAAAAAATGTTTCTAATAATGAAAAGTGACTGCACAGTGCAATTTTTTTCCGAAATTTAACTGCACCGTGCAAAATTTTTTTTCACAATAAAAAGTACATTTTTTTAAATGTTTAACTGCACTGTGCAAAAACAATTTTTGCACGGTGCAAAAATTTCGCCCCATTTTTTTAATCTTTAGCCCCAAGGCGTGGGTGATGACAAATCATTCAAGTCGATTGATTTTCGACCCTTCATGGCCCTTATAAACCACTCAATTCACCTGATCTTCGAGTGGGCCAATTCAATTCGTGGGGCTTTAAAATTCGAGTGCGCGGCTCACTTTGAGGAAATATTCGATATGACGAATAATTTAGGGTGGGATATGTGCGGTAAAATACGCTATTTTTTCAATTTATTTTCTCCCAAATTTTCTACAGTACTTTTCCCCTTCTTCTACTCTCATTTAGAACCAGTTTTTTTCCTCATTTTATTTTTTATACACTACTATTTACTCACGATCAGTAACAGCGCAGATAACTGATATGACTCATGACTTTTCGCGTCGCTTTACTGGAAATCCGAGAAGGCGGATCTGTGAGATCGCCCCGCCGGCTGGGGCCCTGCGATTCGGCCGAACTGTTTGCACAGGCGCGTACAGTCCACAAACGGGTTTTCATTTAAATTGGAGTGGTCATTTAGGGGTGAAATGAGCTGGAAAAAAGGTTGTTTTTCAAATTTTTGAATGAATTTTAACGCTTACCTCCGTATTTTACAACGTATAACTGCTAAAAAATCGTTTGATTTTTTTTTGATACTTTTTGATACTTTTTACAAAAAATATTTTTTTCGTGATTTAAAATACGTTTTCGCTAGCTAATGTATCTTATCAATATTTTTTGCACTTTCAGAGCCATAATGACGAGGTGGATGCGATTACTAGTATGGGGCTGCACAATAACCTCGATTTTTGCCCAACCTCCCCAACACAGCGAAGAGTGCCTGAAAGCGAGCAAACAGTGCGAAGAGAATACAGATTGCATTCACAGATTGGCCGTGCTACAGTCTGCATGGTAAGCAATGGTTGTAAATGTTAGTATTTTTGTAAAGTTATCTTGCAACCACTTTGCGGGCAGCCAAAATTTACCGATTAGCATTATGATTTTTCTACCGTAATCTTCACAATATGTTGGAAATTTTGCATTGTAAACTCCCTGGTACCCGTTAGCCCACGAATCTACTGAATTCAAATACCCCTTTCAAATTTATGGAAGTTTTTTCAAAAAATGCTTTTGGAACCTTTAAAAAAAATGGTTACTATTCAAGCCATTTTTTATATTGTGACCCCCAGGCCACCTCCCCCCAGAATTCGTGGTCAGCTACGCCCCTGACTCCATACAACGAAACGTTTTTTTAGAAAGTAATTTTTGGGCCTCTGCAATTCGTTGTGCAGAGGTTTGACTTAATAGGTGTGCTGCTCAAAAGCAACATTAATAAACCTTAAAAACCACCGTTTTACCGCCTCATTTTTCCAGTGTAACCAACACCTGTCAACCGCAATGTCGTGAATCGGCATTAAATCTGTATCAAAACCGGGAAGGACGTCAGCTCCTCCGCACCGACGCCTCATGCGTCCCCGGACGCTATGAGCTGGAGAAGTGCGGCCTGTTGCCCACCCGCTCGCCGAAACACTGCTCCATGGCGAAGCTGGTCTGCGAGACGGACCTGCAGTGCAACGCGAAGTGGGAGGTGTTCATCAGCGAATGCGAGGGCGAGACCAACCAAGGACGGTGCTCGGAGCAGTGCCGACAGCACCTGAATGCGACGTTGAGCACCGCGAACGGCGCCGACTTGAAGACCTGCACCTGTACGGACAAGGAAGACCAGAGATGCCTGCAGTTGAAGGATATCACGCTGAGAACCTGCTTGGAGGCTGTAAGTTTTGATTTACGTTTTTTGCTACTGAATGTGTTCCGTCACTGCAACGGGGGAAGTAGCCCAAGTGTGACGCTCAGAAAATCTGTGCGTAGCACTTCAAAAACGTCGCGTCCCGACTTTGTCGGTCGACAACAGCTCGGGTCAACACAAAGCCAATCAATACAAGGCCTAGAACAGTCGGAGAGCCAAGAAAGGTGGTAGCAGTTGCCTACTGGGCCTGCAAAGCCCGTTGAATGCTCGAATTTTCGGCGAAGACAAGACTTACAGTATGACCACTTTCTCAAATTTTAACTCTGTATTGCTAGCCCTAATTTCCTTAATCCTCAGTTATGGTAGATTGGAAAGGGCTAAAAATCACTACAGAGAAGACCCAAAGTATCGCCGACCCGAACTGTCGTTGACTCGAAAATTCGTAGCGCCCTTCCCTTATAAACAATTCACGCTCTAACCCCTCAAATTTACAGGACAAGCCCAAGCCCACTCCGCCGCCGTTCGTTGAGACTAATCGCGTGACGGATGTGGATAATGAGATCGACTCGCGACGTCCCGCCAATGCCGATCCCCGCGATCTGCCCGATTCGGCCGCTCAAATGGCTCTCTCCGCATCGCTCGTCCTAGTCATGTTGCTGTTGGCTCAAGCATAGAAGGTGAAATTCACAACACGAAATATTTATATATACAGTCTATATGGTAATGATATTTACTTGTGCATAATAAATACGGTATTTTATGGAGAAAAAAGAAAAGTGATCGGATTGTATATGTCTATGTATATGTAAATATATGTATAGTATGTCTATGTATACGTATATGTGTATGTATATGTATTTTTATATGTATATGTATATATATGTATATGTGTAATGTATATGTATATGTAAATATGTATCATATAACATACACGCACTATCCGGAAATGAACTTGAAAGACCGAAACGAAATCCAGGACTTCTGTCTGCGGACTTCCCATATTTTTGTTTCATAAAAATTCTTCATCCTCTTTTCAACCGCTTTTTCAAATTTTTTGTATCAGTCTGTCGGGAAAATAGTGTCGGGTCGCCGCGCCTTCAAATCGCCCATGATTGCTTTGTGACGGCTAGACGCAGCTGGAAATTTGGTGCGCGATAGCCCTCTTTTTTCGAAGAAATGAAACAATTTTACATACTTCGACGACTCGCCACTATTTTTCCGACAGACTGATAAATTTCGGTTTGTCTGTCGGGTTTATCCTGTCTTATTTTCGAACGATGAAATGAGATGCTAATTTCGACTATATTCATGTCATCTCCGTGTCTGGATCCAACACAAGCCGACGCCAAATCTGGCGTGGGATATAGGTAAACAGGAGAAGCGCTCAAAGTCTGGCGCTCGGATTAGTACAAAATTGACAAAGTTGGCCAAAACAATTTTGATCGGACTCCGCGTTTCGTCTACTCTCTCGTCAATCGGTCAATATCTCGGCTGTGCCTGAAAAGCGCGGGCTAAAATTTTCAAGAGTTGATATGTTGCCTATACGCGCATTTCGTGCAATATTTAAAGAAAATCTGAGCGTCGCACCCATCACTGGGCCCATTTTTCCGAACAACCAAAGATTAGACGGTAAAATACGATTACACACAGAAATATCAAAAATTTCAGAATTATTATTATGTAACGCGAGCATGTTCGATTTGATTACCCTTTTTTTCAAAAACCCACGCCAATGCCGGATATTTTTAGCGTTAATTAAAATCAGCTGGACATTGCACTGTTGTTTTCCTTTCTCTTTTCGGCCCCCTTTTTGTTAGCTGGACTGGAGTTTAGGTTTGTGGTGCGATAAAAGTGCGAAAATTATTTTCGACGCTTTATCGCAAAGTGCTTTTTTTATTGATTCAATTCTTAGACAAAATTTGATAATATTATTTTTCAAAAAATGCGGAGACTTTTTTCAAAAAAAAAACTGCACCGTGCAAATACTAGTCCGTTCGTAAAGTCGCTGGAATGTTTTCGGCGACATTCACCCCGCGAAATCGAAAGTTCACTTTGCACTGTGCAAATTTTGGCTTTTTGCAGGCTTTTTTGGGCTGTCGCCCGCACCCTGAGTTTTCGTGCACAGTGCGCGTCGCCGAAAAAATTCCAGCGACTTTACGGAAGGACTACTAATCGCGCTCAAAAGTCCTGACATTTTTCGCACTGTGCATTCTTCTTTCATTTCGCATTTGTCGCCGCAATTTCCCGTTTTTGCATTAGCGACGTGCACTTTCGCGCGCGACAACCCCGAATTTGCAGGGGCGACGTCCAAAACCCAATGTTTTGCACGGTGCGAAAATTGTCAGGACTTTTGAGCGCGATTAGTACTAGTCCTTCCGGAAAGTCGCCGGACTGAAATCGGCGACATGCACTCCGCGAAAACGAAATTTCACTTTGCACTGTGCAATTTTTGGCTTTTTGCACTGTGCAATACTAGTCGCGACATAAAGTCCTGACACATTTTGTCGCGGGTGTCGCGCGAGAAAAGTGGCAAGTTCGCGCGAAAGTGCATGTCGCTAGTGCAAAAACGGGGAATTGCCGCGACGGGTCCAAAAACAAAATGCACAGTGCAAATGTGTCAGGACTTTATGTCGCGACTAGTAGGCTTTTTTGAGCTGTCGCTTGCACCCTGAGTTTTTTCTCACAGTGCATGTCGCTGATTTCCGTCCGGCGACTTTCCGGAAGGACTACTAGTCGCGCCATAAAGTCCTGACACATTTTGCACCGTGCATTCTTCTTTCATTTCATCCGCACTGTGCATCTTTTCGCATTTGTCGCCCCGATTTCCCGTTTTTGCACTAGCGACGTGGACTTTCGCGCGCGACAAACCCGAATTTGCGGGCGCGACATCCCAAACCCGAACTTTCGCACTGTGCATTCTTCTTTCATTTCGCATTTGTCGCCGCAATTTCCCGTTTTTGCACTAGCGACATGCACTTTTGCGCGCGACGAACCCGAATTTGGGGGCGCGACGTCCAAACCCCGAACTTTCGCACGGTGCAAAATGTGTCAGGACTTTATGTCGCGACTAGTACTAGTCCAGCAAAAAAGTCCGCGGAATGGATTTCGCACCCCGCACTGTGCAGTTTGAATCAGCACAGTGCATACCCCCGCGACAGACTTTTTGCACGGTGCATTTTGACTTTGCACTGTGCAAAGGGCTAAAATCGGCACTGTGCGGCCATTTCTGGGCTTTTTGCACAGTGCATCCTGGAATTCCGTTTCGCTTGCGAAATCGCAGCGATTTTCGAATGAAAATCAAAATTTCTGCGACATGTCGCCGAAATTGGGGCTGCCGCTTCGGAAATCGTTCGTTCTTTTGGGGTTTTTTTGCTTGCACAGTGCGGGGAGCATGCAATTCTCGGCCGTCTGCACAGTGCAGACCTAAAATTGATTGTGGTTTGCACTGTGCGGTCTTTCGGAAATTGAGATTTTTACTGTGTAATGTTGCATTAATGATGGTAAATTTCCACTTGAAATTCTTAAAATTGATTATTGAGTCACTAAAGTTGTCAACATCCTTGTAAAATTAAAATAAAGTATTTTTTAGCAAAAAACAGCACTCAAAAGGCGTTAAAATTACTGTATGACAACATTTTTGGTTTGAAACAACCCTAAAAAACGCCAGTAAATTCACAATCCTTTCTGCAACCATTATTTTATAATTATCATGTATTTTAGTCAAGCAATGTCCCAATTTACTACAGTTATTACCCTCCTAAACCAAGCCGTACGTAATTTTATATCCGCACTGTGCATTCAATCGGGGAGCCAACCGCACCGTGCGCCGCCACCAAAATCTGGCCAAAACCGAGCGCACCGTGCAAACCCAAAACGAACTCAATTTATTGCACTGTGCAGCGTCTTTTCGCACCGTGCGCCCAATTCCGTCGCGCGCACCCTGAAACTTTGCACTGTGCGGGCCGAAAACTGCACAGTGCATGCGCGAACAGCGTAGTGCAGCCATTCCGCGGACTTTTTTGCTGGACTAGTACTAGTCCTTCCGGAAAGTCGCCGGACGGAAATCGGCGACATGCACTCTGCGAAATCGAAAGTTCACTTTGCACTGTGCAATTTTTGGCTTTTTGCACTGTGCAATAAGCTTTTTCGAGTTGTCGCTCGCACCCTGAGTTTTTTCTCACAGTGCATGTCGCCGATTTCCGTCCGGCGACTTTCCGGACGGACTAGTATCAGTCTGGCCGAAAAAGAATTTCACCCCCCTCCGCAAAAAAATCGCACCCCGAAAATCCAATTCTGCGCGCGACATCGGAGATTTTCCGCGACGAAAGGGAAAAATCGCTAAAATTTGGTGAATGCACAGTGCAAATGAACAAAAACAACGGTTTGCACTGTGCAAAACAGGCCCGAAACCCCGATTTCGCGCGTGCGACACGTCGCTTTCTTCGTTTTTTCGGCGACATGCCCCAAATTTCTCTGCGATGCAAATTGGGGTTTGGAGTGCGTGCGACGGAGGGGTTCGGGGTGCGAAATTCTTTTTCGGCCAGACTGATACTACTAGTCGCGGAAAAAAGTCCTTAGAATTTTTCGCGGCCCCCAAATCTCGTCGCACCCCGAAATGTTGATTTGTCGCGGGAATCGCGCGCGACAATAAGGCAAAATCAACAAAATTGCACAGTGCAAAATGTGTTTTCGGGTGAATGCACAGTGCGGAGTCGCAGAAAATTCTAAGGACTTTTTTCCGCGACTAGTAGTCCTTCCGGAAAGTCGCCGGACTGAATTTTGGCGTTTGCACTGTGCGAAAAAACTCAGGGTGCGAGCGACATCCCAAAAAAGCCTATTGCACGGTGCAAAAGGCAAGAAATTGCACAGTGCAAAGTGAACTTTCGTTTTCGCAGAGTGCATGTCGCCGATTTCCGTCCGGCGACTTTCCGGACGGACTAGTACTAGTCCGTCTATATTTCCGTCCGGCGACTTTCCGGAAGGACTAGTACTAGTCCGTCCGTAAAGTCGCTGGAATGATTTCGGCGACGCGCACTGTGCAAGAAAACTCAGGGTGCAAGCGACAGCTCGAAAAAGCCTATTGCACTGTGCAAAAAGCCAAAAATTGCACAGTGCAAAGTGAACTTTCGGTTTCGCGGGGTGAATGTCGCCGAAAACATTCCAGCGACTTTACGGACGGACTAGTACTAGTCCAGCAAAAAAGTCCGCGGAATGGCTGCACTGTGCATTTTTCGGCGCGCACAGTGCAAATTATAGGGTGCGCGCGACGGAACTGGGGGCACAGTGCGAAAAGACGTTTCAAAGTCATTGCACAGTGCAAAAAGTCCCCTTTTTTTGGGTTTGCACGGTGCGCTCGGTTTTGGCCGGATTTCGGCGACGGCGCACGGTGCGGTTGGCTCCCCGGTTGGATGCACAGTGCGGACTTCAAATTACGCTTAGGAGGTTAATAACTGCAGTAAATTAGGACATTGCTCGACTAAAATGCATGATAATTATAAAATGATGACTGTAGAAAGGATTGTGTATTCAGTGGCGTTTTCTAGGGTTGTTTTACACCAAAAATGTTGTCATACAATAATTTTTGCACTTTCTGAGTGCATTTTTTGCGAAAAAAAGACCATTTTTTGACTCTACAAAGGTGTTGACAACTTTATTGACTCAATAATATATTTTGAGTCTTTCAAGTGTAAATTTAATATCATTAATTCAAGATTACACAGTAAAAAGCTCAATCTCCGGAGCGCCGCACAGTGCAAACCGAAGGAAACTTTGGGCTGCACTGTGCGCACATGTGCTTTTTTCTCCCCAAAATCATTCCGCACTGTGCAATCAAGTCAAAAAACGAACGATTTCCCAAGCGGCAGCCCCAATTTCGGCGACATGTCGCAAGAAATTTCGATTTTCCTTCAAAAATCGCTGCGATTTCCAAGGCGAAACAGAAATCCAACTTGCACTGTGCGAAAAGCCAAGAAATGGCCGCAAAGTGCCGATTTTGGCATTTGCACTGTGCAAAATTCAAATGCACAGTGCGAAAAGTCAATCGCGGGGTCTGCACTGTTCTGATTCGAAACTGCACAGTGCGGGGTGCGAAATCCATTCCGCGGACTTTTTTGCTGGACTAGTACTAGTCGCGGAAAAAAGTCCTGGGATTTTCTCGCGCCCCCCAAACTCCGTCGCGCCCCGAAAAGTTGATTTGTCGCGGGAATCGCACGCGACAATAAGGCAAAATCAACAAAATTGCACTGTGCAAATGCACTTTTCGGGTTCATGCACAGTGCAGAGTCGCAGAAAAATCCCAGGACTTTTTTCCGCGACTAGTACTAGTCGCGCCATAAAGTCCTGACACATTTTGCACCGTGCGAAAGTTCGGGGTTTGGACGTCGCGCCCCCAAATTCGGGTTTGTCGAAAGTGCACGTCGCTAGTGCAAAAACGGGAAATCGCGGCGACAAATGCGAAAAGATGCACCGTGCGGATGAAAATGAAAGAGAATGCACGGTGCGAAAGTTCGGGTTTTGGATGTCGCACCCCCAAATTCGGGTTTGTCGCGCGTGCGGATGAAATGAAAGAAGAATGCACGGTGCAAAATGTGTCAGGACTTTATGTCGCGACTAGTAGTAGTACTAATCGCGCTCAAAAGTCCTGACAATTTTTGCACCGTGCGAAACTTCGGGTTTTGGACGTCGCGCCTCCAAATTCGGGTTTGTCGCGCGCGAAAGCGCACGTCGCTAATGCAAAAACGGGAAATCGCGGCGACAAATGCGAAATGAAAGAAGGATGCACAGTGCGAAAATTGTCAGGACTTTTGAGCGCGATTAGTATCAGTCTGTCGGAAAAATAACGGCGGATCGTCGCATCAAAATGTCTCGCCTCGCCGCTATCGCGCACCAAATCCCCCGCCGCGGCTTGAATTCGCAAAGCGATAAAGGGCGATTCCGAGGCGCGACGATCCGCCGTTATTTTCCCGACAGACTGATACTAGTCGCGGAAAAAAGTCCTGGGATTTTCTCGCTCCCCCCAAACTCCGTCGCGCCCCGAAAAGTTGATTTGTCGCGGGAATCGCGCGCGACAATAAGGCAAAATCAACAAAATTGCACTGTGCAAATGCACTTTTCGGGTTCATGCACAGTGCAGAGTCGCAGAAAAATCCCAGGACTTTTTTCCGCGACTAGTATCATCATTTTGCACTGTGAATTTGACATTTTGCACTGCGCGTTTGGCATCTTTTGCACTGTGCAACCGAAATATCGCGCGACAACTTCCATTTTTAGCGGAGTCGCTGCGACGTTTACGACAAAATGCACATGCAAAATGCTCGAAAAGCCCGCACGCTGCGAAAGAAAGGAGAAATGCGCTGTGCAAAATGTTCAAATGCTCGCACTGCGCGACAAAAGTCAAAATGCACAGTGCAAAAAAGCCCGCACCGTGCGAAAAAAGACAAAATGCACTGTGCAAAATGCTCGAAAAGACCGCACCGTGCGACAAAAAAGGGAGAAAATGCACTGTGCACAATGTTCAAAAACCCGCTCTGTGCGAAAAAAAAGAAAAAATGCACAGTGCGAAGTGCTCGAAAAGACCGCACTGCGCGATAAAAAAGTGAAAATGGACAATGCAAAATGTTTGAAAAGCCCGCACCGTGCGAAAGAAAGACCACACCGTGCGAAAGAAAGGCGAACTGCACAGTGCAAAATTCTCGAAAAACCCGCACCGTGCGGCAAAAAAGGGAGAAAATGCACTGTGCACAATGTTCAAAAACCCGCACTGTGCGAAAAAAAAGTTAAAATACACAGTGCGAAGTGCTCGAAAAGACCGCACTGTGCGATAAAAAAGTCAAAATGCACAGTGCAAAACGTTTGAAAGGCCCGCACCGTGCAAAAAGTTGAATATCTCCTTTGTTTCTGCAAAGTGCGACTAAAAAAATTTTTTTTTTTTGCAAAATAATTTTTGGTCGCCTTGGCCTGCGTCTGCTGAATTTTTTTAACCGGATTTTTTTCGAAACAAATCCGGGCTTCTTATGGTTAAAGACCTCGTTTCATAAAAAAATTTAGAATTTTTTTGACTTTACTTCGCTCTCTGGTGCAGTATAATATAATTGCTTTGTCTTTTATCTCCCACAAATCCCAGTCCGAGAAAACAAAGCAATCTCATTGAAATTATTATTTACCCCTCTGGCAATTTTTCGGCTAGCCATTTGATTGACACTTCCGTGTCTGCATCGCTTTTTATGGGTTCGTAACGAGATTTCTCCGCTCTGTTTTACCATCTATCCGCTCGGAATTCGGCCGAAATAAGGCTTATATATTGCCCCATATTTTATTGGCCAAGTTGTCAATCCAAAATTTATTTATTTGGGTAATCAATCAGGGCGAACAGATTTTGACATTGGGTAAATAAAAAAAAATTCTTGAGGCTCATCGACCAATGAGCAAGTCGCCGTTGGAGAATTTGTAATAAAACAGGAATGCGGCAATAAAACGGGCTGGGAAGGATGGATCGCACTTCAAGTGCAGTGCATCGGAGATTGACGGCACATCGAGTTGTTTTTTTTTCTGTTATTGATTTTAGATTTGTTACTAGCACTTGCACTTTTTGTTGCTATTTACTTGCATTGCTGAACGTGGAAAACAGCACGATTTAATATTGAATTCTTTATAACAATATTTTTCAATTAAGAATTATCCTAAGAGGAGGAAGACTGTAAGTGCGACGTTTCGATTTTGATGAAACTTGACACAGATTTAGGATAATTTTTAGTGAAGCATTTTCGAGCCTTCTAGCTCGCGCTTAGCTGAAACGACTAAGGTCAAAAGTTGGCGAAAATGAAAAAAAAAAACATGTTTGCCAATTTTGGCATGAAAAGCAAAAACAATTTTTGTTCATATTTTTGGCAGTTTCGCATGGAAAAGATTTTTTTTTGTTGAAAAATTACCCTCTATGGTAGAAATATCGAGAAAAAATCCCAAAAAATGTCATATTTTTCCAAAGTTTCTATCTAAAAATCTAGTTTTTTTTTGGAATTTTCATTTGACTTTTTTTGTGGCTTTCCCCCAAAAATTAATTGCTTCTGTCGGGAAAATAATGAGCGCATTAATCTGAAGTAAACAGAAATTTGATTTCACCGCAACGCAATCCATTGTCATGACGGTGACGCCATATTTTCGTGCTCATAACTTTCGGGACAAACAAATACAAAAATTATCTCAATACACGAAAAAAATGTCAAAATTTTATAGTCAAAATCCACATTTTTCCTGACCACTCTCTGCATTTTGTGCGCTCTCTTATCGAAAGAGAATTGCCTTCCAAAACGAAGCTTTCCTCAGCAGTTGCACTAAAACTGTCGCCGGTGTTGGCCAATTTCCTCAAGGAACCCTCACTCCAGTCCTTGTCCCATCTACTGCCCGTTGTCCCTATTTGATATGCACTTCCCTTCTACTGTAATTAAATGTCAAACGCTTTGTTGTTGGGGCCGGTGGAGTGCGATCCGCCCATGCCCGGGAATGCATAGTGCACTCTTCGCGAGGCAACAAGATTTAGCGTACAAGCGGCCGGAAAACAAAATATTGGCAGTCGGAAGAAAATCCCCGCCGGCTATCCAATGTTCAGCCAGCATTTATGGTTCCTGGTCAATGCGCTGTCGTTGGGTGGAAGAGTAAGTTGGCGCTTTTGTTAGGAAAAAACGAATGTATATAGTACTGGCGGAAAAAAATTTTGAATCTTTGTTTATTCCTGTGTTTATTAAGCGTATATACATGTGCAAATCGAGTACGGTGGAGAAATTATACACCCCTGCAAAGAAGGGGAAAAATGGAGATGACGGAGCGGTCTGGGAGGGGTTTTTAATGTCGCAGGATTCAGCTTGGCACAAATTTAGATTATTTTTGGGAAGTATGTGAAATTTCCGCCGATTTGGTCTAGAGGGCATCTAGAGAAGAGGACACCAAGCGAAAAGGTACCCAACGAGGACTTGAGGACTAAGCCTGATTTTTTTACAGAGGAAGTACCCCAAGTGCGGCCCTCAGATTTTGATGAAATTTTGTAAAACATATGTATCAATCCTTTGCAGATGCAACCCAGATTTTTAGATCGAAAGTCAGAGAAAATTGAAGGCGTTTTCCCGAATTTCGACAAGAAAAGTTTTGTATACCTACATACTTCTACCGCAAATGGAAAAGTCATTCTCAAAAATTATCCTTGGTCCATTTTACCATAGCTTTTTTCTAACGTTCATTTTTCCACAGGTGCGCCCTAGTCCCCCCTTTAAAAAAGTTAGGTGCTCTCTTTGCTCAGTGCCCTGTTTGGATCGAATCTTCTTATCTCGCATTTTCAGAAAAATAATGGTTTTTGGTTCGCAAGTTGGCTAAGATTCAGTATTTTGAGGCGAACGTAGGCAAAATTCCTTTTATTTATACAAAAAAATATATTTTCTCCATGTGAAATTGGCAGAGATACGGTCAAAATCCTTACCGACTACCCTTGCAAAGCGCGAGCTGAAATGTTTAGAAATTGATGTGTGGTCAGTGTTGTGCCTCAAAAACATTTTGAAGGAAAGGTCATGCTTGACGAGCTATCTTTGAAAGAAACCGGATAAGGCGCCGGAAACGTCGGTGCATTAGTCATGTTGCGACATGCAATGCTTGTTTCAAGGCTGTAATTAGAGCATGTAGAATAGAGGGTTGTGCGCTTGACATAAACTCGAAGTACGCGTTTCTCTATTATGTTCTCATTTTGCTACGCCATGAGAATTTTATGGTTCAAAGATTTTTGCAGATTAATAAAAAAGTGGGATTCGTGGGAAACTATATAATTGGGGAAGTGCTGCAAGTGAGATGTTCAGATTTCGATGAAACAGGGCGCAAATGTACTTTATGTACATGCGCCAATGTACAATCATCTTTATTGTGTTACTGAGCTGTTGGAAAAATATGACACTTTGTTGCGAATTTTGGCATGAAAAGTTTAAAGCCTGTTTCTACATACTGTAGAAGGCAATCTTTCCACAAAAAAATCATTATTTTCCGCAAAGATATAGCCAAAAAGTCTTTTCTGACCGGTCTCCGCGTGACACGTGCTCTCTCAGCCCAAAGATCGTTCAAGATGTAGACTTTACACCTGTTTGTTCTACAGTAGGCGTAATGGGTAACGCTCCCACAAAAAATGATTTTTTTTGACGCAAGCCTAGCAAACATCTTTTCGGGCATATTTTCCATTCTGAGCGGAAAAATTTTATTTTTCGTATGAACACAAAGATCGTTGAAAATTTCGGCCGTGCCTGTAAAGTGGCCGACATTTTGCGGCCCCAGATCGATGTCAAGTTCGGGCTCAGACTTTCAGGAGATGATATCAGGCCTATGTCAAATGTCTACGCAAAATTCGTAGAAAACCTGAGCGTCAAGTACTGGGACGCTTTCCATGTAAATCCTTTCTTCTAAATTTTTTACAATTTCAATATCCCTTTGGCTTTAAAATTGAGAAATAGCGACTTTTTTACAATAACTTTTCTTTCTCTCATTACGCCCTCTAATCTCTGCTCTGCTTATTAATCCCTTTTAAGGGCATTTCAATTGCTCTGCTTAATAAAGGCATTTCGAAGCCACCAACTCCCACCTCTTATCTCTTCAATTCACATTGCCCAGGGGGATTTTTAGACAACATGTCTGACTAAACCTATTTTTTAGTGACAAATGTCAAACTTGAGTCTCGCCGCGAAAGCAGGAAGACATTTGACGCACTTTTTGCGGAAGCTCGGAGTTTTAATTAAAGTTCCCTATGATGGGGAAATTGTGGGAGGATTCCTTATTCAATGGTGTCAATGCGATAAAAACTTTCAATTTCCGTTGTTTAACTGTCTCAACAGTTGAAGCATTCCATTCTCGGTGCCGCGGGGGCGTAGCTGGCCGAAAAATAAGGTGTGACATGTGATACGATGAGAAATATTTGAATGTTGAAAAATGGGGTGTGACATGATATACGGCGGAATAGCGGCTAAATTTTTTAGGGATGATGTTGGACTATTGGTTATCAATAACATATACATACTAGAGTGTTTCAAATGAACAATTTTTAAAATTTTATAAATTTTTCATCGTTGAACATGTCACACCCTATTTTTTCAATCTTCAAAATGAGGGGGAGTCTTCAAAAAGGGGCTTGTTCATTCAGAAGGACTGGTCAAAAAAGGTGAATATTCAGCACTTCCTTTTCAGCCTAAAGTGAGCTCTTTAGACCATCAAGACTACAGCGTCATTTAGACAGGTCTTTTTTGCAAAGCTAGTACGTTGTACAGAGTTCCACTGGATTGTACCTCTTTGTTCTTTTTTTCGCCAGATTGAGTGTGTACTTCCTTTTTGTACGCAACAATACAAAATATTCAAACCGCGTGATTTCCGAAAACGGGTTTGTAGTCTTCCCAGTAAAGGGTAATGAGCTCTCTAGAGTATACATAAGTCAAGAGAGAATATACTACATAAGACTATGTATATATAATACTCCAATTTTAGAACTACATTCGTAATCGGGCCATTTTGTATAATAGATATCTCGAGGTTTTACTGAGATGGTGTCATAATAACAATTGGAGTAGATATCAATTCAAGTATTCAAGTCTTCATGCGCTTGGCAGTGACATTTTTTGGACTGTGGCCCTTTGTTGGGAAATCGGCAAGACTGGGCCTAAAACTTTTTTCATCGTCCGCTCTCTGCGTTTGCCGTACTCTCGCGGCCCCAAGGATCGTTGTAAAGCTGGAGCTAAAACCATGAGGAATCGAGCCTAGGCATGGCTCTGGCTTTACAAAATTTTCCGGCCCGGGAAATTTTTTTTGTATTTTATTTTTGCCGCCCGGCTCCGGGCTTTGATTTTCAGGCATGGCTTCCGGACCGGGCCCAAGTTTCAGCCCGTCAGCTGGATCTCAGAACGAGCTTTCGCTTCGAGGCCGGACCGAAGCAAAATTGAAACGGACCTGGCCGGGTTGACCTCTTCCGGCCGCGGGCCTTGCATTTTTGCCCCGGTCTGGCCGACGAGCCATGTCTATTTTCAGGCTAATCCCAGCCCATCTTTAAAGGAAAGGAAAACAAAAACATCCGGTCTTCCTCCAGAAAAACAAAAATAGAATTCCGAGAGTTTCTTTTTTTTTCAAAAAAAAAACCCGGACATTTTCTCTTGGCATTCAAAAAATTCTGGGGCATTTTTCGCAGAATGGAAATTTCCAAACTCAATCAATTACACAAGAAATTTTACCCGGGCCGGTATTAAAATTTCCTGGCCAAGACTCGGGCCAGGCTGGAAAATTTTCCCCGGATTGCAACCATGCTTAGTTGAGGCTACGTCTAACATGTGTACAAAACTTGTAGAAGATCCAAGGATCGCACTTGGAAGCCTTCCTTTGTTCGCCTAATTTTTGAATCCTACATATGCTACCATATTTCCGCGGATACAATTTGAAAGAATAGAGCTTAATCCGCTTATTGGCATCATTTTTCATTCAAAAACTTCTTCCTCCAGCCTTCATTCTCTTCATTTTCTATAAAATTTTCGGTCTTAATGGTCTTTCCTCGCTTTAAAATTCGATTTTCAATTCTTCTCTAAATCTACTTTGACTTTTTCTAACCATTGTGAGGTACGTCTGATACGTACTGCTGTTAAACAAATACACGTTTTTTTTTCTATATGGGGACGCCCTCGCATTACATTTTGCATGAATACGTACACACGTGTCTCTACCATTTCTGAGCCAGCAATTATCGATCAGAGTTCATTTCGGCAGACTGACGTTGACATGCGCATTCTAAATAGGGCTCTAGTCGTTGGAAATTATAGTTTGGACCCGAGGAATCAAACTAGCCTTTTCCAGAGGCCATAAAAAATGTGGCTTAGGCATTATATTAGGATAGGGAAAGAGCGCAAAGTGCGACGCTCAGATTTTCATGAAAGCCGGCATAAGTTTAATTCAATTTTTTTGAGGAAATATGCCGACCGACAAGGTCGCGCGTTGTCAAAACAACCGAGATTTTTAAGCCGTAAGTTGGCGAAAAAACGATTTTTTTTGCAATATTTGTCAGGAAAATTTTATGGATGTTTTTACCGTAGAGTGTAATGTTTTTTTCAAAAAATCAATTAAAAGTACACAGCAAATTTTGCCATTTTTTATGTTTGTTTTCAAAAAAAAAAATTTTTTTTTGACCAAAGACTCTAACAAAATGATTCAGCAAAAACTGCTTTGCCCTTTAAAGTTGATTTTGATCCCGGAAAAATAAGTTTGTTATATATTTTTAACAGAATTTGGCGTGATTCTTACATTTTTATGTAGGCTTTAGAAAAATATTTTTGTCGCTTTTATCGTCACGCTTTCGAAAAAAGTGCATTTTTTGTCTATAGAAAAATAAAGAATACAAATTCTATGTTCATTGTTAATCATATCAGATTCACACTTTAATCCGAGTGGAAATTTAATGATTTTTAATGTGCATGGTGTCACCACGGCATGGTTAGTATGGGGCCCATTTTTCGTATATATAACACCACCAAATTTTTTTTGCACAGTGCGGATTTTTTATTTTTGTCATCGCACGGTGCAATTTCTTTTTTGCACCGCACGTCAAACTGAGGAGTCCGGTGACCGGAATAGACTCTTCGCTATCGGGTTTTTACACTTCGTCTTGATTTCGCAGAGAAAGAGAGAAAAAAGACACGCAAAGGCGTACTCTCTCGCCCCAAAAATTCCCCATTTCTTCCCCGACGAAACGTTTTTTCGCGTATTTTTTTGGCAAATTGCCAATCCATTCACCGGACTGTTTTAGCTTATCTCAGTTTGACGTGCACTGTGCAAAAATACTTCTTTTTAAGCTATCTTTCGCAATCGCACAGTGCAATTAATTTTTTCGCACTGTGCGAAAATAATTTTTTCAACTATAGCGGACGATTTTTTTACCGTGAGAAACAACTTGTTGAAAATAAAAATTTTGTATAATACGTTTGCACCGCTGAGAAAAGTCTTAAACTTCCTTCTTCTTTCGCACAGCGCAAAAAATTCTGTTTTTTAAATTTGATAATGAACAAATGAAACTCTCTTACACGTTCTTTATTTTCTGCCCAAAATTTGTTTTCCCTCCCTGCTAAACTCCTTTCTTATTTTTCACAGTTTGGGTCTCGATAAACATGACAAACATGGCACCAGTCATGCTTGTTTTTGCGCCTAATTCTTAGAATTTTGAACAAAAAATGTGGGCTTCCTACATTTTTGACATTTATTTTTTTTAAATTTAATTGCGCTAAAAAACATTGGAATTCTCACGTAATTTGTAAGGGGCGTATCACAAGGGCAAATTTCAGATTTTGTTTTATAAAATTTGCGCATTCTTTGGACATAGGCCACGTAAGAAATTCCGAAATTTTTAGACCTGATCTAGTGGCAAAAAACGTATCATTTTGCATCCGGGAAGTACAAAAAATGTGGCAAAATGCTTCCTTCTCCAAATGAAAAAACTCCGATTTCAAAAGCGCGCTCGCTCTTTTGGTGAGGGAAAGGGCGCGCAGTCCAAAACGGAGTTTATTTTTTATTAGTTGGAAAGGGAAGCATTTTGCCGCATTTTTGATGCTTCCTGCATGCAAAATGATACGTTTTTTGCCACTAGATCAGGTCCGTCACTGAATATCTTTGCGGGTGAGAGATTGTGCGAAACGCGGAGAGCGGTTAGAGAGGAATTTTTTCGTCATATCTTTGCCAGTTTGGCGCGGAAAAAATTGATTTTTTTGTGGAAAGATTACCCACTATGGTACAAATAAATATGACACCTTTTATGCCAAAATTCGTAGAAATTTTATCATTGTAAAAGTCTTACATATTTCTTTAAAAATAAATTCCAAATGTAGCCATTTAGCGTATACACCTCTAATTAGTGCGATTCAAAACTAAAAATGTTGAAATTAAAAAAAAAAGACACTTGCGGCAACCGCTTTGCGGGCCATTATATAACACAAATTACGATGTTTCGCCGTAGTCTACGTACAGTAAGACCTGATCCAGTGGCAAAAAACGTATCATTTTGCGTCCGGAAAGTATCAAAAAATGTGGCAAAATGCTTCCTTCTCCAAGTGAAAAAACTTCGTTTTGAAGAGTCGTCACAAAAAGGGCGGGCGCGCTTTTAAAGCGGAGTTTTTCACTTTATAGAGGGAGGTATTTTGCTACATTTTATGATACTTCCTGGATGCAAAATGGCACGTTTTTTGCCACTGGATCAGGTCCCCCATGTAGTGTGATAGAAAAATTTGCGACATCTAACTAGCAATTCATCGTTTGAATTTCTTGTTGTAAGCAGATGTTAAACTCGTCTGTCGGGAAAATAATGAGAACAATGTCGTTGGGTCGATCGTATCGCTGAAGTGAAAAGCAATTTGATTTTTTCGCGACACCTTTAATTTCTCGACGGTGATCCGATTTTCGATGCAACAGAGTGCTCATTATTTTCCCGATCGTCAGATAGTATCTACATTTGGCCTGATTTACCGTATTTTACATTTTTTTAAAACTCATTTTTCATTTTCATCACGTTTTTGACCCCTAAAATCACATTTTTTCAGATGAATGTCTCGGAACAAACGTATTCCGAATGGCTGGCGCAGAAAGACGAACCAAACTCTCTTCGAATATCGCTATTTTTAATCGAGATTGTGCTGCATGTCGGAACAATCGTAACGAATATTGTATTTATAATTTGCGTCTCTCAAACCTCAACTTTCCACAAGAATCTCAAATTAATGTGTGTAAATAATCATGGCATCCTGGTCGCGGGGGTAAGTAATGTTTTTTCATCTGTTTGCATAGCAAGGTTAACTTTTTTCGGATTTTGACATTTTCGCACGGTGCATTAACTCAATTTTTTTGATTTTTTGCACAGTGTAGCCAAAAAATGGAAAAAAAAATTTACTGCACTGTGCAAAAAGAATTGAAAAGTTGACCGCACCGTGCAAAAAATTATTCGGACAAAATTTTACTGCACTGTGCAAAAAATGAAAAAAAAATTTTTGAGTGCACCGTGCAAAAATTGTTCAGACAAAAGTTGACTGCACTGTGCAAAAAAAAATTTTGGAAAAAGGTGGCTGCACCGTGCGCAAAAAAATTTCGGAAAAAGTTGACTGCACTGTGCAAAAAAATTGGAAAAAGTTGAATGCACCGTGCCAAAAAAAAATTTGGAAAAAGGTGACTGCACCGCGCAAAAAAAATCGGAAAAAGTTGACTGCACCGTGCAAAAAAAATTTTCCGACAGAATTTGACTGCATTGTGCAAAAAAAATTGTAAAAGTTGTTTTGAACTGCACCAAAATTAACAGTTTTGAATTCTACCAACTTGCCTAATGCCCCGTTTATTCTCTTTTTTCAGGCTACCATTCGAATGGCAATTGTGATCAACATAATTTCCTTTGATTTTTTTTTCTCCTGCCAACAAAAAACCTATCTAAATATGATCCGAGGTACTCTTATTGTTGCAACAAAGTTCTCGTATTTAAATGTGGTGGCCGAAAGGGCGGTGGCGACGAAAAAAGCGGCTCGATACGAAGGGAGTGGGTTCACTTCTGGAGTCGTGATTCTCGTGATTTGGGTGAGCTTTTTGAATACTTTTTGAGGTTTTTCGAATTTTTTTGGATTAAAAAATTTTTTTTTATTTTTAGTGGACACTATGTGGCCTATTGGGAATCTTTGAACGTAAGTAAAGTTTTATTTTTTTTCATGATTTTGCTCAAAAAACGGAAAACTTTTTATTTTTTTTTCTTTTTTCAGCGCTTTTATTCATTGTGATCGTCAGCCTGATCCTGCCAGCCATCTCCATAATCCTCATGGAGAAATACAACAAGCGCCAGTACCACTCTCTCCCTCAAATGGCCAAGTCTTTGTCGGCGCGCTATCAGATCGTGGAGAACATTCGGACGCTCAGAATGTTTCGCCGATGGTCCTATTTATATGTTGTTGTCATCTTCCTCGAGGCAATTATGCTTTTTATGAATGTTTCGTTGGTCTTGCCTCGAGGCATGATATACGAATGGCGGCTGATTTCGAATCTATACGATATGTTATTCGTATCGTACACACTGATATGCCCGTTGTTCTTGATACGAGCACATCCGCATCTTCAGATCGCGTTCGAGTAGGTTAATTTTATTTTTTGAGCTTTTTGCACCGTGCAAATTTTTTTTTGTTTTCGCACTGTGCATTTTTTTCCGGCTGCACTGTGCAATCAAATTTCATTTTTTTCGCACAGTGCAGAGAAGAAGGTTGGATGCACTGTGCAAAAAAAATTCAAACTTTGCACTGTGCAAAATCCATTTTTTTATTTTCGCACTGTGCGGTTTTTCCGACTGCACTGTGCAGTAAATTTTACTTTCCACGCACAGTGCAGAGCCTTTACACATTGTGAAATTTTTTATCGTATCCGACTGCACTATGCACTCAATTTCAAATCTTTACACAGTGCAAGAAATTTTTGTTTATTTTTTTGCACTGTGCAAAACCAAAAGTTTTATGCACTGTGCAATTTTTCTCATATCCGACGGCACTGTGCGCAAAAATTTTAAATCTCCGCACAGTGCAAGAAATTTTTATTTTTTTCCCGCTGCACTGTGCAATAAGATTTTGTTTTTTTCGCACAGTGCAGAGGTAAAATTTGGATGCACTGTGCTCACAATTTCAAATCTTTGCACAGTGCAGAAAGAAAGTGGTTGCACTGTGAAATTTTTAGCATATCCAACTGCACTGTGCACAGAAATTTCGAACTTTTGCACAGTGCAAGTAAGTTTTATTTATTTTTTCCGCTGCACTGTGCAAAAATCAAAAATGATCGCACAGTGCGCCAATTTTTTTAAAAAAATTTCTTCAAAATTTTCAATTTCAAAAAATCCAATACATAAAATACTGTCCAAACCAATCTTATTCATCCATTTTTAGCCGACTTTTGTACGGAAAAACGACATCCAAACGCTTCCCGCGGGACGTCAGCCAAAAATACATTCACCATGAGGACGCGAACGCCTATTTCGAGCGACTGCATTCCACGTGGCAACGACATATGAGTGCGTATTAGGCTCAATCAACAAATTTTTGCTCAAATTTTATTTGATAAATGTTAAGAAAACCTTGTTGATATTCAAAAAACAGTTATGTTTTCGTTGAAAGATGGTTAAAATCACGACCGATGAGACGAAATAAGTTAATGGGACTTGAAGCCCGCGTCGTTGAAGACCTTTTCCACGTCGGCAAAGACCTGAATTTGAAACAATAAGGTGTAAAAACGGCTAAATTCGTAAAAATTTGCAAAAAATAGGCTAAAAATTGAATTTTTCGCATGTTACAGTAACCCATTTAAAGAAATGTCAACTAAAAATATGTTCCTAATCCTTCTTAGCTACTATATATTCACTTTTTTAATGAACGCATTGCTTATTTTTGAACAGGGAGACATTTTATACGAAAAAGTCATTTCCCTATAAAAAATTTAATTTTTCGTATGTTACAGTAACCCATGTAAAGAAATGTCAACTAAAAAATTTTTCCTAATCCTTCTTAGCTACTATATATTCACTTTTTCTAATCAACCCACCGCTTATTTTGATCAAGGAGACATTTTATACGAAAGATTCATTTCCCACCAAAAAATTGAATTTTTCTTATGTTACAGTAACCCAAAAAATTTTTCTGCTTGGAACCTTTATTTCACATCATATTCATTGACTAGAACCACTTTTCTTCATTATCTAAGGATCATAAAGACCTAATCTTATCCTTGATGCCTACTACAATGTCCGCCAAAAAGCGCAGACAAAAACAAGTTTATCAGAATAAAAATCGTTGAATCGGAAGTCACATGCTCTAATCTCTCAAACCACAAACACTCTTGGGCAGTTCTTTCATCGAAACGGCGGGTTTTTATCAAAATGTTATTTTAACCGCCGACTATAATTTTTTCCGAAAATTGATGAAAAAATAATTTTCTTAAACAAACAAACGCTAAATAAGATATTTTAAGCCATAATCTATCAAATAGCAACCATACCTTATACATTTTTATTTGAAAAATCCGTTTTTGGATCAAAATATTAGACTTGATATCTACTATAATATCGGCCAAATACTCGTCAAAAACCCCAATTTTTTGATGAAAAAATCGTTAGTGCTGTTGTCCTATGACTCTAGATTTTCATCAAAAGCATTATTCACAATTTTTTCTTTCTCAAAATTAAATTTTCCCGCAAATTTCCCCAGCCGTCTATTACAATATCCAAAAATCCTACCTGATCGGGTCCCGGCTCGGAGCTGATCTCTCTGACCATGCCCAAATCTCTGTAATACTCGATGATGGGCAATGTCTGTTCATTGTAGGTGACAATCCTCTTCTGCAGCGACTCTTCGTTGTCGTCGGCGCGGCCTTGCGAGCGGCCCAAACAACGTTTCACGCAGACCTCCAGCGGGGCGGACAGGTACAGGACGAAGTGGACTTTGGTCTTGTCGTTCATCTCCTTCTGCCAGCCGTCCAAATTGTTCTTGTTGCGCGGGAAACCGTCGACCAGGAAGCCTTGGGCGTCGCCGGCTGCTAACATCGCCTAAAATACGACGAAAAATTATTGATTTTTGCAAAATAAAGGGTGAAATTCTATGTCAGATTTGATCTCGCAACTCAAGGCACATTTTTTAAGGCAAAAAATTATTCTTTTAATTACACACTGTGCAAAAAAATTTTTTTTATTTTCGCACTGTGCTGTTTTTTCGATTGCACTGTGCAGCAAAATTTCATTGTTTTCGCACAGTGCAGAGACAGAATTTGGATGCACTGTGCAATTTTTTCTCATTTCCGACTGCACAGTGCAAGAAAATTTCGAACCTTTGCACTGTGCAAAATTTTATTTTTTATTTTCGCACTGTGCGAGTTTTTTCCGACTGCACTGTGCAATTTTTCTCATATCCGACTGCACTGTGCACAAAATTTCACATCTTTGCACAGTGCGAAAATGAAAAACGTGTCCGCACAGTGCAGAAATTTGAGACTTTCGTGCACAGTGTAGTCGGAAAAAAACTCGCACTGTGCGAAAAAAATAAATAAAGATTTTCTGCACTGTGCAAAGATTTGAAATTTTGTGCACAGTGCAGTCACAAAAAACCGCACAGTGCAAAACCAAAAAAAATTTTCTGCACAGTGCAATCGAAAAAACCGCACAGTGCGAAAATAAAAAAAAAGTGATCGCACAGTGCAATAAAAAAAATCTTGTACAGTAAGAATAAACCTACATTTTCAATAAGTTTACAGGTGATCTCCACCGGGACAATTGATCCGTTCTTGATGTGGGTTTCGATGAGTTCGCCGAATTCGGAGCCCTCTCGTTGTCGTTCGGCTCTGAGCAGGTCGCCCGCCGACAGGTGGACAAAACCGAACTTCTCCTGGATTCTGGCGCATTGTGTGCCTTTCCCGCTGCCCGGAGGGCCCAAGACAAAGACGACGTTGTGCTGGGTGGGCCCTGTGGACTCGGTGGACATTCTCGACGAGCTTCGGCTTACTGTAACAAAATTTTTTTTTATTGAAAAATATAGTAAAAAAATTTTAAAATTTTGAAAAAAGAGATTCGAAATGTAAAATACGAAAAAACTTTTTAATTTACCAAAAAAAATTTTGAAAAATTTATAAAAATAAAAATTTTCAAAATTACTCAATTTGTTACCTAAAATAAGGTCACAATCTCTTAACTTCAATGTAATTTGAAAAAATCTTTTTTTGCAAATACTTAAAACACCTTTTAAAATACTTTTTAAACCTAAATAAAGTGACTTTTCGGCCAAAAATCATCAAAAATTCAAAAATCTCACCTAAAGTAATATAAAAATTTTCGAATTTTTCTCCCCAATCTAACTTCTAAAACATCTCTCCCACCCCACATTTGCTATTACAACTCCTCCCACTGCCTGCAACATCCATCTAAACGCTAAATCACAAATTTTTCGAAAATTTATACCTAGAAACAAAATTTTTGATGGCTGTTCAAACAAAAACCGAGTTATTCAGTCCCAAAAGACAGATTATAAACCATGACCACCTAATTTATGCAAATCACACTATTATTTGTGATTTTTTGCTGGTTATTCCACGTAATTTTGTCGGTTCGAAAATTCATTTTTTTCAAAAAAGTAAAAATTTTTATCAAAAGAGTAAAAAGCAGTAAAGTCTTATCACAAAAAAACCACTTTGCTCTGATTTGTGGGCGAATTCGGAGACAAAAAGAGGAAATTTTTTTGGATGAAGGTATAAAAAATATCATAAATGATATCAAATTTAGTTTTTTTTGCGGGGAAAATGATTTTTTGGCTCGAATAAGGCCATTTTGAAGGGAAAAATGACAGAAATTAAGAAAATTTTAGAAAATTTTACATCAATTTATATTACACTAGGCAAAATTAGATAAAAAAAATTCAATTTTCTTTCAAAATAAAGCCTTAGCAATGCTCAAAATTAGTTTTTGGGCTTCTAAAAGCTCTTCAGTATCTGTTCTCAACAAAAAATCATACAAAATCTACAATAATTTATATTACACTACTCAAAAATGGCTTGAAACTCCCAAATTTTGAATGAAACAACCTCCGAATTGAGCTCAAACCCCCTTTTCTGAGACTCTAAAGCCGTTTCAAGCTCTTTTAGCCCCCGGCTTACATTTTTTTTCTTCCAAATAAGCGCTTTCCCCTCAAAATACAAAAAAATTTTTCAAATTTTACCCAAAAAATTGCTCAAAAGTTCTTCCGAAAAGTCCCAGACAGCCGCCGATTCCCAAAACAATCGACTTTTATTCCAAATTTTAATTGGTAACCCGCAAAATTCGGATTGACGTGAAAATTTCTCCGCTTTTTTTGGTTTCTAACCAAAAAAAGACGTGGGGATTTGACGTGGCGCGCCGAGAGAGGAATGTGTAGCAGTTTGGAATTCATATTCGCAATAATTGTTGGGTCTCGGCGACATAATTTTAGATTTTTGGTCTTATCTTGATCAATTGAGACTTCCGGTCCGGAAAGATTTGAGATAAAAAGTTGGAGAAAACTCAATTTTTCAAAATGAAAATAGATGTGGAAGATCGAAAAATTGTGATAAAATTGTAATACAAGATGTAATACGTCTATATTTATCAAAAAGAATGGATGAATTAACTGTAGAACATCAATTTTGGCGATTTTCCGAGGCCCACCACCTTGTACATGACTAAGATAATGTTTTTGCTCATTTGAACCCCATTTTTCTGTTTTCCCTCAGAATTTTTGGTTTTGTTATGAAGCACAACATCTAGTTACTCACCTTGTGGCCTGAAGTCGGAGAAAAAACGAGAGAGAACGCGAAAATTTTGGGCTTTTCCCGGGGCCACGCTCACAAACCGAACCCAATTTATTGTGCCTTAAAACAATCAATTTCAATTAAGATACTGGATAAATTGTGATGGCATGGCCTTCACAACTCTCCATACTATATATCCCATGGTTGGTGACCACTTTGAAACCAAGTATCAGAATGAAAAATCAAGATTTTTGAACAACATTTAATTTAACGGTCAACTAAAATAAATAGATAAAAAAACATGAGTAGACGCCGAAAAAACTGGATTATTCATGGCGGAAATGGGAAAGTAGGAACGATGGAAAAATTGGGACGGACTAGACATTCATTCATCGACGAAAATGTCCTGAACTTGGCTGGTTATACGACCTCGACCCGATAAAATGCGACGCCTCGCCTTATCGCGTTCTTCTTTCTCTTCTTGCTTCACTTTCTGCATGCGCAAGATCTCTTCCAGTGATACCTGAAAAGCATTCAGGTTTAGCGCCGACGGGCTGCATTCTGGCATCAAATTTTCGGATATTATCCATGATTCCAATCAGGAAATGAGAAATCTAAATCCAGAACAAGAACAAATTAAAAGTATACCTTCGTCAGGCCTTTCGGCTCATCCTCCGTCAATTCCCCAGCTAATACGACATTTTCTCCACGAATTAAGAACATCCCTCGAGGAATGTCGCCATAAAAATTGTCCACATATATCCGCTCCAAAGTGTTATGTAAAACAAGGTTAGCAAATTGATCAATTGTCCTGAGGTCACCTATAAGTGTTTTTCCATCCCGAAGCATCACCATCATTCGTTTGTCGAGCTGATCTAGCAACGAAATCGCGCCAGGGAGGAAAGGGTCAGGTAACTCCATCTAAAACAATATAAATTAATATTAGGAGATAAAATAAAGACGAAGGAACAAAATTACGCGTAAAATATAATTTTACAACCCATGTAAACTTAGTAAATTGCCTTGGCAGCAGCAAAAGCGCCAAAAAAATCGGTAAAAGCAGAAAAATACGGAATGCCACACTCCTCTTGGCACGCAAACTTTTTCGTGTTGGGACGCAGCGGATAGGGTCACGTATGTCAGAATCGAATTTGAGATTTCCAAATTGCCGAATTTGATGGGAATTGGGTCGGAATTGTTGTATTCTCGTAATTATTGACTCGTAATCAATCGTTTTATCGCTATGTGCAATGATCTCGTTTATTTCATTTTAGGTATTTTACCTTGCCCATGAAGAAGAAAACAAACAATGTGTTGACCTTGTTGTGGACAGTTTTTGGTAAGCCTATTATACTTTTATCTTGCCTCTATTATGTAGTACCGCTTTTCGGTTAATTTTCCTTCGAATCCTCAAGAATTTATCAGCTTTACTATCTTACCCATGTTTCAGCTGTTCCTCAGCTTGTGTTGGCTTATCCAACAACAACATGCACCTCTAGACCTTGCAAACATGGCTATTGCATTGATGAGTTGTATGGCTACAGTTGTTCTTGTTTTGTGGGTGAGTTATTTTATATTGTTCTTGATGTTTAGGTGTATTTGAGGAATTTGCCTCAGAATTAGATAATAGGCAGAAAAGGTTTCGATTTTTGTTTCTAGAGCGACATTATGGACTTGGCTGCCTCGTTGGCTAGTTTATTTTCGACGCCATTGAAAACATTCATTAAAATCAGCTGATTTATGTTATCCATCTGGCCTGGTATTGGTCTACAAAAGAAACTCGCTAAAACTGTGATTTTGCGCAATTATCTTTTCGATTATGCAATATTTTCTTCCAGTAGAGGTTAGGGGAGTTACTTTTTATGAGAGGACTGTGTTGTTTGCAATTTTCTTGGTTCTAGGTTACGTTGGTCAAAACTGCGACATAAAAGTCACAAATTGCGAGCTGCCCTGCGAGAATGGTGGAACTTGCGCGAATTCCACTCATTGCACTTGTCCTAACAGCCATTTCGGGCAGTTCTGTCAACACGAAAGGCCGGATCCGTGTCAGAATCAACCATGCGGAGCCAACGGATATTGTCAGTCCAATCAGAAGTACAAGTAAGAATTTTCCTTTTCTTTCTTTGACTTTTAGTGGATATTTCTGCAAGTGCAAGCCAGATTGGGGTGGTAGACACTGTGAGATCCCGAATTGCACCGCGGATGATTGCGAAATGCACATTTCTCGCTGTTCTTCCGACAGCTGCCTAAATCAAGGTGAATGTGTGGATGAATTCTCGACGAATTCGACTCGATGTGTGTGTCCGATAGATTTTCGGGGTGAGAAATGCGAGTTCAAGAAGACTGGAGAGCTGGCGGCGAGTTCGGGAACAACTGGCAATGTTGTAGTAGTTTTGGTGGGCAACTTGAGTTCAGTCCAATATCACTCAAATTTGATTGTGGAAGCCTTGAATGGAGAGATGGGAGCTCATGTGGAGTTTGAGAAGACCGATGATGGCCGAAGTATGTTATATAAATGGGATTCTATCAATGGGAAAGGCGATTTAATTGAGACGTTAGGTCAAAATCAAGGTGAAGATGGTAAGTTGAATTTTATATTGTTTTGCTTCAGTTTCTAGACGCTAAAAGCTGCAATAAAGCTAGAAGGAGTGTTGACGCTCAAAATTTCAGTTTATCAGAGGCGTTTTGGCCAAGTTTTACAAGGAATTTTGATGGTTTTGAGGGTGAACACCGAAAGATGCATTGAAATCAAGAGAATTGAGCCGAATTCCACATGCCCAGAGACTGTGATTGATGTGGCATCCCTTCTGGTATCTCCGAGGACCCAGAAAGTCCTCGAACCGTTAGGCCTTCACATTCATTCAGCTGCGGAGTCACGAAATTCCAGCAATAATTTGAACAGATTTTCATCGCTTGTAATTGCGGGCTCAATTGTCGCATCCCTCTTGATTGTCATTACTATCGTCCTAGCGGTCTTGACCAACAAAAACAAGCAGTATTGGTATCAAGGATGTCATGGAGGTGACTGGGAAAACGGATCTTTGATTGGTGCCGCACTCTCGAAGTCGGACTCTCTGGCCAAGGTCACTACTGGCCCGATTTGGATCCCGCCCAAGGGTAATACTCTGTTTTTGTCCGAATGAGGATTTTGAGAGTTGAATTTTTGAAATTTTTGTCTAGTGTAATATAAATTTTTGACGGTTTTGCACATAAAACGGGTTGATTTAAATCTCTTAGCTCTTATGATGCTCTAGAATTGCTTAATATTGCGATTGAACCACAAAAAAATTTTTTGACTTGTCAAGTGTAATATGATTTTTGTTAAATTTTCATTTGAAATGTGTATTTTATGGACGATCAGTACTGACTATAAATTTTTAGAGCGTACTGAGAACCTTCATGGCCATTGCTCATGCCAGTTGACATTAAATCCCACCAAGGGTAACATCGAAAAACACGTTGAAAATTGCCAATTCTCAATTGGAGTAAGTGGTTTTTATATTTTTTTCTTATGTTTTTGGATAAGTTACGTCATAATTACGATGGTTCCGACATTTTCAGGGCAGGGGTATATTGAAAAAGGCCTTCAAAGAGATTGCAAGCAAAAAATCGGCGGAATACCGGGAAAAAACTGGAATTCAAATAAATTTTGATGACAGTGCAGTGGAAAAAGTTTCTCAATGTGTGACAGACACGATGAAGACCCGATGGTTCCCGGACTTGCAAAGATTTGCAGGGTAAGCACCGATTTTTGACGATTTTTTATTGTTTTAGGCATGCTGGAAGATCGAAGCCGAATTTGAATGATGCAACGATGTTGTTCAATAGAAATGAGGGAATTGTAAGTGAAAGTATGATGTGAAGTAGATGTGGAAGAATTTTTGAAGCGTATGGAGATCAGGTTTTGAAGAAATGAAGGAAATTATATTGGACTAGGTGACTTAAAATAATATTGGATTTTTTTGGTAGTTATTGACGTTTTTTGATAACAAGTTTGCTTTAGAGGAGTAATTATGATTTATTACGTTGATACTATTGCATAATTGTTTTTTATTTCAAGTAGTTTTTGGGGTTTGAGCCGTATATTGCACTTGGTCTTGATAATGTAAAAATGAGCGGATTTTATTTTAAAATCTAGTTAACTTGTTAGATTTGTTTTTAGATAGTAAGATAATGTCTCATTTTACGTTTATTTTATAATTTTGGACCTTATACCTTGCCGATTTTTTAGTCAAATCGAGTAAATCAACTTTTCGATGAGATGGGAACGGACGCCCTTGATGAAGTGAACACTCTTGATGAATTCGACACTGGGATAAAAGATGAACCAGTAAGTTGTTTAAACTTTTTTGTTTTGTTTTTAGAGACAATTGGACCAAGAAATTATATTACTTTAGACATCAACAGAATTTTTGACGCCCAACCCGTTGAAGAGAACCTACAACGAAGTAAAGATGGAATCTGACTCCCGTGAGATGCCTAGATTCGCCTCAAATGATCTGGATTTGGTCCCGGTGAATGGCCAACCGAATAAATTTCTTCAGAAGTCAACTGGTGCGACTGTAATTATCCCCAAGAATAATAAGGTATATCCCACCGGAAAGCTCCCAATATACAGTGGCTTGCCTGGAAAAGCAATGTGCGAGACCATGGACATGATGTTGAGTGTAAGTTGACAGATTTGGGGAGTTTTGGATATTGTAGTAGGCAAAAATTGTTGAAATTTTTAAAAATTGGAAGTTGTTGTGGATTTTTTTTTACAGAGGGAGCTGAGGATGTGTGAAGTGTTTAAAATAGATTTTGAGGGGGTTGCCTGATTTTTTGTTTAAAGTTTTTTGATTTTTTCAAAAAATTCGGTATTTTTGAAAAATTTTTGATATTTTAGTCCCGTCCAGAGCTCAGACCTTCCCCGTTTGATAAGATGCAACCTCATGAAGCATTATCAGTCTCAAATCTGCAGAAAATCATTGGCAATCAAAGAAAAAATGACTCGGAAATTTCTTCGAATCATGGTGAATATCAGCCAGATGAAATTAAGCCCGAAAATGATACCGGATCCCTCTCCGAACCTCCGATTCTAACTCCAGAAGGAAGTTTTGACTTTACACAAGATGAGAGCAACTTGGAAATTGAAGAACCACGAGATTTGTCACCATCGGAACGTTGTTTTAAAGATGAATTTCAATTTTTCGAAGTCCGCCTGGATTGATCTCAATGCAACTCTTAGACCTCAATTATCCCATAATCTTTCATGCTATATAATTTGAGAATGTTTGGATTACATTTTTTAGGTAATTTTATCATATTTTTTGAATAAATTCTATCTAGTATAATATAGAGGCGAAAGAGGTTTGAAAAAGTGACTTGGGCGCTGAGGTAAGTTGTTTTTTAGAGGTACCCTGGACAGTAGGTCACCCCTATTTGGTCGTTGGATTGCGCAACGCATTCTGCAAAAAAATATATTGATTGTGACGAAGTGTCACAAAAATTATTGTAAAACGGAATTTTGTCGCAACTTTTCGTAAACTTTTCAGAAATTGTACGCAAATCTCGCCCTATTTTCATGCAAATTCCGTCCATAAATTCCACGTTTCTCACGGAGAAAATGAAAATTTTCGACAATTTATCTCAACCATCAGTCTTCTTTGGGACATTCGACGAAGATGGCTGAAATTCCCGAAAAACTGGAGCAATTGGACATCAACAAGGCTGAACAGGGTCCTGCTGAAGTCGTTGATCACGTGAATCCTGCAAACTCCGATGCCGACGAGGCCCTAAAGGCCGCCGAAAAATCGGCCGTGGAGAATGTGGAAAATGCGGACGCGGACGTGGAAATCATGGAAGTTGATCAGGATTTGGAGAGTTTGGACTTGACCAGACATCGGATCCCCAAAATTGAGGGTCTCGACTTTTTGCGGAGTCTGAAGTCGCTGTGTTTGCGATGGAATTTGTTGAAGAAGATTGAGAACTTGGATGCGTTGAAAACTTTGGTCGATTTGGATCTGTATGATAATCAGGTGAGTGGAGAGCCCGATTTATAGCTGGATTGGGTCGTGAGCTTTGATTTGATGGTAAATGTAGGCCATTTAGCTTCGTATTTTCATCGATTTTTTGCTAATTTTTTCGAAGGACATCAAAATTGGGCCTAAAGTAATATAATGGCTGTGGTGGATTACTTTATAGATTAGATGAGGGGAAGATAATATTAATGGTTGGATTTGATAATGAGCTTCGATTTGACACCAAATTCGGCCTGTTTACAGCCAGTTTTTATAGAGTTATAACCGTTTTTCGCCAAGACATCAATTTGCTATCCAAAATAATATAAAATGGCTAGAAAAACTTTTTTTTAGATAACGAAGATTGAAGGACTCGACTCGCTGGTCAACTTGGAGAGCCTGGACATCTCGTTCAATCGTATTGCAAAGATTGAAGGTTTGGAAAACCTCAAAAATCTCAAGAATTTGTACTTGGTTCACAACAAAATTTCCAAAATCGAGGGCCTTGATAATGTAAGTTTTGCAATTTTTTTTTGCTGTTTTGGACACATGAAGTATATTTCAATTTTAGCTGATCAATTTGGAATACCTGGAGCTGGGCGATAATCGAATCAAGAAAATCGAAAATTTGGAGAACAACAAGAGCTTGGAACGGCTATTTTTGGGGGCAAATCAGATCAGGAAGATTGAAAATGTTGGTCATTTGGATAACTTGAAGGTTCTCTCACTTCCTGCTAATTGCATCACAGTGATTGAGGTACGTTTTTGCGATTTTTTTGAGGAAAATTTAGGACATTTTTTTTGAAAATTGTGAAGTTTGACGGATAAAACAATGGTTTTGGATGGAAAATTAAATTTCTTGGAAGAATAAGGTCTAAAAATATGTTGAAATGATTTTTGGGTTGATTTTATATCATTTTTTGTTTAAAAGCACCAGCAAAAAAGTTTCTGATCTCGGGCGGGCTCGAACCGCCGGCCTTCTGTGTGTTAGACAGATGTGATAACCACTACACCACGAGACCACACGGCCCTTTCTCTTTCGGTTCGCCCATTTTTTTGCGGAAGAGAGGGCCGCTTTCCTTGCGTTTTCCCTCTTTTTTGTTGTTTCTCCTGAAATCTCGTTATAATTTAGATTTTTTTTTGCGTTTTCAGAACCTTGAAGATCTCTCCGGCTTGGAGGAGATCTATTTGAGTCAAAATGGAATCAAAAAAATCGAGAATTTGGATAAAAATGTGGGCTTGAAGGTCCTGGACGTGAATTACAATCGACTGGACCATATCGAAAATGTCTCGCATCTGAAGAATCTGACCGATTTCTGGGCCAAACAGAACAATTTGACGGATCTGAGTGAGGTCGAGAAGGAGCTGGGAAAGTTGACCAAATTGAACTTGGTCTATCTCGATTTCAACCCGTTTTCGAAGGATTCTACGTACAGGTGGGAGGAAATTGGAAAAAAAATTGAATATTGATGGCTTTTATGAGATTTTAGACCCAAAGTTATTCGAATGCTCCCATCTTTGGAACGTCTGGATGCCATTTGCTGTCGCCCGCCGAAACCGAGAATTGAAGAGCTGGATGAGCAAAATGTGGATGAAGTTGGTGTCTAAAAGATGTGACAGGAGAAGTACTATAATTATCTTGCCGATTTTTGCCTGTATTTATTGATTATTAGGTTGAAATGAAGAGATCTTAATGTTGACCAACATGTGTAATATAAATTTTATTTTTGTGGATGTCATTGGTCGAGCCACAGGGGTACTTATTAAAAAAAGATCCGTTATAGAGAGGTTTTGTCGCACGAAGGCTGATTTTGGTTTTCAATTGACTTTTGAAACGCCAATTGCTCAAAAAAAATAAAAAAGTAGTATCGTGTGGTCAAGATAATTTATTTTTACCGCAAACACAACCCAATATCATCCCGATGATCCAATTTTACCCCGAAATAATCCATATCAATCCCACGGAATGTCTTGTGTATTAATGACCCCTTCTTTCTTGTTTATATTTATAATTACACAATGGCCGGACCTCTGGCCTCTCCCTCCCGTTGAATGGGTACAATAACGGTGGGATTTGTGTCCGTTTTAGAGACGAGACCACGAGTAAAGATATTTGAGCAAACATTCCGTCTTTTACCCAAACAGCCGGAGGGGTTTTGATCTCGTTTCCAACTTTTACTCCCTGGTTTTGAGTAAAAATCCGATCGGAGGTGATTTTTAGTGAAAATTGGGTTCCTCTTGGTGGTTTTGGGTTCCGTAGGCTATAGAGAACGGGTTAATGGGTGTTTTTATGGGTAGTAATGGTAGTGTTGACAATAAAAGTGGGCTTGAAATGGCATATTATAGGAAAATTTGATGATTTTGGAGGTTTTTCTTAAATTTCTGGGAATGAAATGATTGAAAATTGGGAAAATTACTTAGGAAATTTAATTTTACACTTTATTCCAGAGTATCTTCCCGTCTATGATTTTTGCAAAAGCGAAAAATCTTGCTTTATAGTATTTTTTGTCCGAAAGAATCAAATTTTTCTCTAAAACCCCTTATTTTTATCAAAAAATTGATGTTTCGCTCCTTAAAAACGTATTTACAACGCCAAATAACGACGTTAGGCTACAATAAAACACCTTTGTCATTGATATTCAACGATATTTCAATCAAAAGCAACACAAAAAGAGTTTTGATCTCGGGCGGGCTCGAACCGCCGACCTTCTGTGTGTTAGACAGATGTGATAACCACTACACCACGAGATCACGCTGCGACGAAGTCTTTTTTTATTTCTCAGCTTTCTCTGGGCAAATTTTGGGTGGGTTTTCGCTGATTTTTTGTTGGAAATAAGGGGTTTTGTCGGAATTTTTTGAAAATTTAATTTTTTTCTTCTTTAACAAACCTTTTGCTGCGACTGATTGATTTTTTTAGATTTGTTTTCAAACTTTTTTTTCAGAGAAAAAATCATTGCTGAATTTTCAAATGTAAAAAGCCGCAGGCACTTCTGATGATATTGACTACTTCTAAAATTGGTCATTTTGTAATTTTCCTTACATTTATCTACCTCAATGGCCGTAGCGTTGCTGATCTGCCCCTTCAATGCATTCCAATTGAAGAAAATGACTTCAAAGAGTACTATGAGATGCATGGGAGTGACTCAAATCGGCTGATTTATAGAGCTAGTGAGTTGTAAAATACGGAGGGAATCAATTCGTGATCATAAACCTTGTTTTAGATATCAACAAAAGTGTGGATGACACTTTTACCGACAATCATTTGATTGGTAGGTTTTTTGAAAATTTGATTTTTATAAGACTGGCTCTGATTTACACTGAAGTTTTCAAAGATGCATGTGAAAACGTTAGGTTGCACAAACTGACAAGATTTATAGAGCAAAATAAAAAATTTTGAAGACCTTTCACATAGAAATTTTCGTTGTTTCTGCAAAGCGCGAGCTTAGGTATCTCGAACATAACCAACTGTCGGGAAAACAATGTGGATTCGTCACGCTTTGAAATCGCCCATTTGCGCGCTGCGACGCCAGCCGCGGATGGAGATTTGGTTCGCGACACGACAAGGAGAGACGTTTTTTTTACGACAATCCACATTATTTTCCCGACAGTTGGTTATGTTCGAGATACCTAAGCTCGCGCCTTGCAGAAACAACGAAAATTTCCATGTGAAAGGTCTTCAAAATTTTTTATTTTGCTCTAAATCTTGTCAGTTTGTGCAGCCTAAAGTTTTCACATGCATCTTTGGAAACTCCATTCTACATCAGAGCCAGTCTTATCAAAATAAAATTTTCAAAACTACCAATCAAATGACTTTCCAGGCGTAAAATTCTACCGGATCATCGTGGATGATCAATCGCCGGACAACGTCGCGCTGGTCGCCAATTACACTGACCATCTGCGGTTTTACAATCTTGATAAAGCAGATGAGTAAGCCAATTTTTGATGTCTTATTCAGCTCTGACAACGCGTTTTAGATACATCCGCCGAGACGATGTTAACATCTCTTTGGATCGAATCTTCACCTACAAACATTACATTTTCTACTCACCCTCGGGGTTTATTTTACTCAATCAATCTCATGTGGATGAAGATATGACTGAAGCGAATTTGAAATTGAATCTAACGGAAGATGAGTTGGCCGAGATCAAAGTCAAATGCTGGGTAAGGAGGAGAGGTTGTGTTATAGGGGACCTCAGACCTCAGTTTTCACTTTAAAAATTTGCTATTTCGTAGACAAAAATTAATGTCGCTTAAAAATACATATTCCAAAAACGAGGTCTCTGCGCCGCCTCCGCCGAAAGTTATAGCCTCCCACTTTGCTTCACGTTTCTTGCAAGACCCTGTATTTGCGACTCAAGCAAAAATCAAGGAAAAAGTTCCTTATTTTGGCCACAACAAAGATACTCCGCGAACTGCGCCCAAGCTTGGGCACTAAAGTTAGGAAAAAACGCTTCGACCTAGCTGGCACTGAATTACTATAATAGCTCTATAGTTTTAAGAGTACCTACGAAGGCTGTGACGACTCATTTAGTTCCATACGGAGGCAATAAGTTTAGTTCCGGACATGTTTCATCGTATAAAGTGTAAAATCGCAGGCTGCAGCCGTTTTTGAAGGGTAAGGTGGCACGTAAAAAAGAAGGTACCTCACTAACTAAATCCACTGTCCGGGCATTGACAACGATAAATTGAGCGTTCACGCTAAATTTGGGCTAATTCCGAGCAGTTTCCGCAAAGTTATAAGTTGTGGCCAAAATAAGGAACTTTTACCAAAATCAAACCTTTTGTAGAACCCGAATAGCAAGTGCATAACGGAAGAAGGCCGATTGGTGGAGACGAAAATGAATAATAGTTTCGTCATGTACAGTGCTGAAGGCATTCAGATCCGAGGGTAAGTCACAAAAAAATTTCAACTTTTTTCCTTCGACTAGTTTTGGGGTGAGGTTTACCCGCCTCTCCCCTCCACCCTAGCTGCGCCCTGGGCGTATTTTACACGTGCAAGTTTTCAGAGTTGCCAGCTCGAACAAATTCTTCATCCACGACAAGGTCTCACACAAAAATTTCTGCTTTCCTGATGATCTCAAAACGCACCGAGACTGCGATGAAAGTGAGGTAAGGAACTTGGAGTGAATTTTACAATAGAATTTTTAGAGTAAATTGGATATTGTTTCCATTTTCGGCAAAAATCGCTTTTAAAAAATAAAATAAAAAAAGAAAAAATAAAAAAATAAAGTAAAACGTAAAATAAGATAAAACAAAATAAATGAAAAAATAAAAAAATAAAATAATAATAAATTAAAATAAAATAAAAAATAAAATAAAAGAAATCAAAATAAAATTAAAAAAAGAAACATAAACAAATCAAAAAAAATAAAGTGAAAAATTGAATAAATAAAACAAAATAAAGGAAAAAATAAAAAATAAAAATAAAATAATAATAATAATAAATTAAAATAAAAGAAATAAAATAAATAAAATTAAAAAAGAAAAAAATAAAAAAAATGTATAGAACAGTAATATTTGAATTCTTAACACTGATAACACTTTTTCAGAAATTCCAAGAAGTTGACAGCCGCTTTCCATTGATTCGAAAGGATTCACCATTTTTGAAAAGGCGATTAGCCTTTATCAATGTGCCTTATCCACGAGTTCAACGGAAATTGGGAGGATGCCAGAAAAAAATAAATCCAAATATAGACAAAAAAGACCCGAAAAAATTGATTTTAGAGAGCAAAACCAGTAAAAAGGTCGAATAAATAAATTAAATATTTTTGAAAAGTTTTAATTTTTTTTGAAAATAAAAATGAAATAGTTTTTTTTAAAATATATTTTACAAAAAATATATTAATTTTTTGAAAAAATTATTTATTTTTCCGGGTTCTTTAAAAAATGTTTTATTTTCTGGAAATTTTGATTTTTTCATTTTGAAAAAAATATTTTTTTTTTGATTTCAAAATTTTTTCCAGTGTTCTTTTTTATTTTACAATCGCCATTCCAGAAAAATTTTTTCAAAGGTCGTTTGAAACTCCTACCGAGTAAGGTCAGGCAAGGTCGATGGCTCTCTTCGGAATTGTTTTACCTTTTTCACACTAATTTGTTCGAACATGTTTTTTGTTTGAAACTCTTGCAATATATTTACACCCACATCGATTATAGGAAAATGGAAGCTCTAAGCTTGAAAATAGAAATGTGGTCGAAGACAATCGAATTTTAATGGCATAAAACAAGATAGCTGAAGATCGATTTAGATGATTTCTTCCACAATAAAAGTATTTTTAATATACTAGATGTGAAAATACGTTTTATATATACACAAATACCGCATTGATTACGAGATGTAACGTATTGTTTTATTACCACAATTAACCATAAATTTTAAAAACAAAAAATTACCAACCGTTGCCTAAAATACAGTACATCAAAAAATATTTATTAATTTAAAATATTTTTATAAATAAAATATTTATAAATTAAACTATTTATATTTTTTTTAAAAAATCTTAAATATTTAGTTTAAAAAAATATACAGAGTGTTCATTATTTTTTCGACAGACTAATAAATAAAAAATAAATTTTAATTTCCCCCTTTTATTTTTAACCCCTTTGTCCTTCAAATTCTTCAAAGATCATTTTTATTTTTGTCCAGGTGTTTTAAAGAGACGAATCTCTGGCCAAACGGCTCAAAATAAACGGCTGTCAAATGGACTTTGTTTTCTATTTTTATTGAATTTGGTCTGAAAACCTTATTCATTTTGTTCTTTGCGCAAAATATTTTGATATATGTCGTGCCGATTGTGAGCGGCCGAGCAACATTTTCACTATGTTACAGTAACCCAATCGCCAAAATTTCGATCCCAATATGCCAAAATCTATACAGTGGGGTACCTGATCCAGTGGCAAAAAAGTACCATTTTGCATCCGGGAAGTATAAAAAATGTGGCAAAATGCTTCCCTCTCCAAGTGAAAAAACTCTGATTTCAAGAGCGCGCCCGCTCTTTTTGTAATTTTTACTTGGAGAGGGAAGCATTTTGCCACATTTTTGATGCTTCCCGAATGCAAAATAGTACGTTTTTTGCCACTGGATCGGCTCCATCATTGTACACTACCGATTTTAACCATTAACGATGCATACTTTCAGAGTAATACCCAATTACTTTAGTGACTGGACAATTGGGCAAAAATGTCTCACTAGTATGCTAGTGGGGCGTGCTTCCCGCCATATTAAAACAATAATCTCAAAATTGACTTTTTTCTTTAGCCACGGCTGATTGCGGCTCAGAAATTGTGCCATGTTTCATAAAATAAATATGAGCGTCATACTTGTGGCACTTTCCCTGCACCATTTGAAACTCATATTCGGAATGAGGAGAATTATTTTTCTAATTACATATTCCCCTCCGGTTTCCTCACCTCCTGGCCTTATTATCCGCTTCTCACTTGCTGCCTCTTTTCCTCTGCCGTCCGGCTTCCATTGCGTGGTCGTTGCTCGCGAAAGGAAGTGACAACCCGGCCTTCGCCGTCATCTTGAGTGTGTGAGGACTAATTTGGCAAGTGTTTCGAGTTTCATTTCGGCAAAGGAAGGTGCTTGTTTTTGGGGAAGTAAAAGTGGAATTGCTCTCTTAGCGGGTAAGATACGAGGAATTTTCTTCAAAACCCATAATTTTCCTAACAAGCGAAGTACTCTATGTGCGGCGTTCAGATTTTAAGGTGATTTGGTGGAAATATAGAATAATTTTTTAGGATATTTATGAACCTCCAAGCTCGCGCTTTGCAAAAACGACCGGGATTTTTGTTTCGAAGGTTGGAGAAAATGTGACAGATTTTTCTGCGGATTTTGGTACACAAGGTTCCACACCTATTTCTACTCCCTCGGCGTCAAAAATCGTTGAACGCCGCGGCTTTGTAAGGAAAGCGCGTGTTAGAATCTTCGGGAGCAGAACTTGAGGTATTCCCTATCTGTATGCAGAATTTAGAGAAAATCGAGCGTGGCACTTGAATGAATAATTTTTTATAAGATATCTCGGCTCTTCCTGCATAGTACATGCTGAAAATTTACTATTATTTTGTTTATGTCTTTCCACGTACAAGGTTTGACAGAAATCGGAGCCTTCTCTTTGAGGTACCACTTCGTTAAAAATGACTGTTGTTTTATATACGTGTTTTTGGCGTTTTTGTCGTATAGCATCTCGTCGCTCTTTGCAAGTAAAAAACGAAATTTTCTGGAGTTGACATGTGTCATATGCAAAATTATTAGTATCCACAATTTTGTGAAAAGCGGAGAGTCGCACGTAGGTTGCCACTCTTTTTCGTGAAATTGACTGTTCCTAGACTTTTTTCACCATTTTAATATTGTCGATAGATCAAGAGTTTACTGATATTTGGTCTCGCAATGACGTCAGCCAATTGTTTCAATTTTTCTCTCGCGTCATATATGTGATTAAAATACATTTTTATCAATTGCTCTCTTCCGCTAGCAATTCCCTGCACTCCTTACGCAAGTTAGGTGTGTCTTCTGGAAATGAAATTATTCTTTTCGTGATAATCGCCTCTATTTTTGTATGCTTATTAACAAAACGTCTTCCAGCAGAATATGTAAATTTGACAAAGCAGTAGAACAAAAGGCCAGCTTTCAGAAAATATCAATATTAAAAGGAACCCCGCAGTATAAACTCAAAAAACTCAATGACAATTAATTTGCCAGTTCCATGTGGAAAAATTGATTTTTCGTGAAAACGCTACGCTCTATGTACAGCAGAAATAGGCGTGTAACTTTTCATTCCAAAAATTCGCAAAAACTGTTATTTTTTACCAACTCTTGTTCTAAAGATCTCGGTCATTTCTGCAAATCGCATGCTAGGATTCTCACATATGTCTTAGAAAAAATTAGTTAAAATTTGTGCCAAGTTTCATCACAGTCTGAGCGTCGCACTTGGGGTGCTTCCGCTGTAAGATTGTAATTACAGGCGTATTTTAGCTCCTATTTTTCAAATATTATCTCTAATGTCGTCCCTTCTTGACTCTTTTTGATATTTTCTTCCTTTTCCCTCCAAAAATTGTGAGATCGTAATGTTCTACCGAATACCTGGAAGAAAGCTCTCCAGTTCCGCCAAAATTCTAATTTCTTTAATTTCCTTGTATTACACGCCTCGGAAATGTCTCCAAAATGGCTCGAAAACAAGCCAGAGAAACGGAGAGTTCAAAAGAGGTCGTTAAAAATTGCCAAGACCAGTTATAGCAGGCGAAAAAGTGCTCTAAACACTTCTGAGACGGTTAAGGAGACATAAAGAGAAGGAACGGACAGTGCAAATTTGAGAGCCCGAGAGAATTTCATTAAAACGGAGGGCGACGAGATTTTTTATGGACGTTTTTTTCTCCGCTTCTCTCTCAAGGACAAAAGAAGCAGGGAGAGTCATTCTTGAGCCCTTCTCCTTTGTCGACTGCGCCCTGCGGGCAGCCCGAGAAGGGACGGAGTTTTTGTCACCCGCGGGTCGTTGCAATGGGTCGCGGATGAGAAGAGAGGGCCGCGGCCTGCGCGAGGGGCCTTCCTTTGTGCTCTATCTCTTTTTCATGTACTTTTCGCCAAAGCACTGGACCCAAAGAGAACGAAGGCCCTCCCCATCACTAGTCCAGAAAACCGGTAATCAGTCTGTCGGGAAAATAATGACCACTCGGTAGCATCGAAAATCGCATCGCCGCCAACAAAATGAGCTATGCCGCAGCAACATCAAATTTCTTTTCACTTCAGCTATTGCACCCATTATTTTCCCGACAGACTAGAGAAGAATAACAGTAAGGGTTGCAGCGACAATGGCAAAGTTTATCCGCTTACAGTTAGGCTTTATGGGCCTTGCAGTCTCCACAACAACTCTCAAAACATACTCTCTGCAGATCAAATTGAATTGCCCTTTTGTGAGCCCTGCTTGACCAGATTTGTCAACAACATACTGTCGGTTCGCCTCTCAGCTAGCTGATTGAAAGCTTCAGCGTTATTAGGTCACTGGTCCGGCCCCTTCCTCTCCTTCCCATTCAAGATGATCCGCCGGACCTGGGCCACTGCCCTGTCCATCTTCTCTATTCTGATTAATCTTTGCCTGAGGTCTCTTGACTGCCCGCGGACATTCTGTACTCTCTCCACTGTTCTTTTCCTTGACGCCAGTGTCTCCGTTCCCCGCTTTAGACCCTCATCCAAAGCCCACCGGCCGGCCGCGGCTTTCTCTCTTCAGCCCTCTTGGCAGCCCGGCCACTGAGTTCTCTTCAGCCCCTTTCCCAGCCCGGCCGCTTCCCTGTCATTTCTCTCCTCTTCCCGGATCCCTTTCCCTACCATCTCCGTTCGTTGTCAAGAAGTCCCCCAAACGGAGCGGGAACAACGCTCTCTCTTCCTCTTCGTTGGTCGGCCGCTTCCTTCTCTAGGGCCCTCTTGCCAGCCCCATCGCGGCTATCTCATGTCAGCCCTCTTACCAGCCCCGCCAGCGTCTTTTCTTCAGCTTCCTCTCAGCCCTATCCGTTCCCAGCCCGGACGTTTCCCTCTCTGCAGCCCTCTTTGGAGCCCGGCCGCTTCCTGGTCCGAAAGAGCTTCCCATCCGGGTCTTTTTCTCTCTCCTTCCGATGTCAAAAAGTCCCCTCTCATTCAATCCCTTTTAGCCGGCTGCTGCCCTCTCGTCAGCCCTCTACCTAGCCCGGCCGCTGCTTTCCCTACGATCCCCTTTCCAGCCCGGCCGCTTCCCGGTCTGTTCTCTCCTGTTCCCGGTCCGCGACATTCTCCCCTTCCTCTTCCATCTTCTTCCGCTGTCAAGAAGTCCCCTTCGACGCGGAGGGAACAGTCCCCGAAGAGGGCGTGGCCAATCCCAGTGTCCTTTCGCGTTCGCACGTTCATCGCCGTCCCGGACTTCGTTTCTTCCTCTTCTCATTCCCTCCGTTTCCCCACCCTTTCGGACGACGCCGTGGGACGGCTGAAAACCGCCGGTGCGATGGACATTTGGCGCGCGAAAAAAGCGAGACCAACGATTGTGCGGGGTCGTGCGACGCCGTTCCGCGAACCATTCTCGTCGAAGAGAATGGGCGGATTTCGGCGGGCTGCGCAAGTCATGGAAGGCCATCTTATTTATTCGTGTTTATTCAGCCGCAATATTTCGGGGCGAGATGAAATTGTATATGCATGCGGATGGCCACGGTGGAAGGTACTCGGGGAAGCAGGGAGAAGATGGTGAACATTAGTGTAGAGGAGGGTTCTGGGGATGTTTCAGAACCGGTTGAGATGTAGCGGCTATACGGCCAGAGGGTCTGTGTGGTGATTTGAAAAGTTTGAGTTTTTTACGACTATTGATGGTGTTCTTTATGGTATTGTAAAAGTGGTACCCCAACTTCGTACCGTCAGATCCTAATAAAACTTGGCACACTTATAGAATAGGGTTTTTTATTAGATATAAGAGGTATTCAGCATGTGTCTTTCAAAGGATATCGAGATTTTTTGGATCAATATGTCGCAAAAGTCATCATTTTTTATTTTTCGACATTTTCTCGATAAAAATAGCATTTTTTTGATATCTAAAGAACAAAATCGACATCAAAATAATATTTTACAACGAAAAGTCGGCTAGGAAAAGACATAAGAAGCTTTTTTCTTTGTTCTCTCTTCTCATTTTCCATAATCTCTCATTTTTAAAGATGGTTGAATATCTCGACTGTCCTTGCAACGAGTCATCTAAAATTTTCACCACTATAAATATAGCCTATGAGAAATACCTCTGCAAAATTTAAAGGAAATCGAACAAACCATCGCTGCGAAAAAATGAGATTTTTTGTTAAAAAGTTATCAAAAGAGACTCCTTTTATTTTTTTCCGCAAAACCCGTTTTATGACGGGTTTACAACCGTTTTTTCCACAACTATTAAACATATTATCCCTGTTTTCATGACGCCGCGGTGCATACACCTTGTTTGCTCTGACCATTTCTTCCTTGTTTATTGTTTTGTAGTCTAAAGGGCGCCCCCAAAAAAGCCGCTCAAAGACCGCATTAAGGTTTACGAGACATAAAAATGCGTGGAGGAATTCAATCTGGCCAAGGATTTTGTTTCCTATATTTTCGGCTTGCTTTTTTGCCTTTTTTGGAAATGAAAAGGAATGGCTTAGGCTGTGATGCACTTTTTTGGTTTTAAAGGTCAAATAAAGTAAAAATATGGCTTTATTATAAACAAAAATCTGCACAGACTATGTAAATAAGACGCACATCAATCGCTGAAAATTTTACCCCATTTTTTTATCGACAACCAAGATTTTTAACTATTTTTTGGCGGAAAGGAAGGAAAAATGATGAGAAAACGTGTGAAAAATGTTTTTGCCATAACTTTTGGAATTCTCTTGGGAAAAAATTGATTTTCTCCAAGAATATTGTCTACGCCATTCTTCATAAAGCACTAAACTTTCAGACCGAAACTTGAATTTTTTTTTGATTTTTTCTATTTTTGGGCAAAAAATTTTGTTTTTTGGCAAAACACAAAGTAAAAATTTCTCATACATCTTGAAAAATTGTCGTCAACTTTTGGCAAAATTTTCTTGCAATCCGACATCTTCATTACAGAAAAAATTGAATTTTTCACTTCAAAAAATTTTTTCGCAAAAATATTTTTTCTAGAAAATTTCTTTACCTTTCTCACTTTTCCATCGCCTTTTCGCTATTTTAGCGCCCTCGCAAAGATTTGGCGGGCATTTTTTATTTCCAAACCCGTCATTGCGCAGTTCCACCTTTAAGGTGAGTGGGCGGGGCTGACCAAAGACCGAGGGAATCGGGGAAAAAAGAAGGGCCAGTAGTCTGAATGGCCTTCGTTTAGATGGCGGCTTCTTTTCCCAGGATTTTTTTTAGCAAAGGGTTTTGTTTCTCAATTTCCCGCCATTTTGCCAAGTTTTTTTGGGTTGGGTAATTTCAGGGTGGTATTGAAAGTAAAACCCGTGAAACCGTTGGTTATTGAGAGGTTACAGACAAGTTATCCTCATGATAAACGGCGTTAACGTGGTTTCTGTGGCATTTCATGCTTATTAGGGCGCAAAAAGACATCAATTTTACATGTACAAGGTATTGCTGACCTTGAAAAGAAATGACTTTAATACTTGACGGGATCGGGCAAATCGACCGTTTCTGGCAGCAAGCTTAAGCTTGGTACATGGAGCGTGTGGCTGTATAGAATCTAGGCCTCTGTTTAACGAATTTCCGCTGTAACGGACGATTTTTTGGAGTATCTCCAAGGCTTGTTGCTTTTGGAAATTTTGATATCTAACTTAATATTGGAGCTAAACCAACGCTTTGAACGTCAGTATTTTGGCTTCAGGGCAATGCTAATGGCCCTCAAGGTCAAGAGAGAAGGCGACTTTGTTGGCTTTGTTTACAGTTGGAGATTACTGGCACTTTTTCCCAAGGTATCATTTACGTCATCACTTTGTCACTTTTTGGTCTCTAAAGTAAGTTTAGAGCTATAGTTGGGTTGGAAATGCCATTTTTACTATTTTCGATTGCATATTGCAACCCAGCAACTGCAGTATCTGGGTCAGCAACATTTGGTTTTTAAGATATTCGGCTATTTTCCTTCCCGCTCAACTGTTCCTACTGCAATATAAAAAATTTTCCGAAAGTAACCTTTCTTTAGTCCCTCAAACCCTTCGCGAAAAAAGTAGAGGCCACACAAGTGTCTTGAACGACCTTTGAAGGTCAATTGACTGCGGCGACAAAAGGGGCGATAATTGCACGGTGCGCATTCCGCCTTCTCGAAATCACGCGGGATCCGATTCATCGGGTTTGTAGGGATTTTGAATAGGTTTAGAAGTGCAAATAGAGTCTTATTCTCCTGTAGTTGAACTCAGGATCAAGTTATGTTGCGAGATTTTGAAGAAATTTGAAATTTTTTATTTTTAAAAAACAGGATTTTTTGAATTTTTTCGTGGTTAATTCAACTGTAAAAGCTAGTATTGTGTATTTGACCCAACTAATTTTATTTTTCCCAAAAAATTGCAAAACTTGTTGAAAATTCAAAAAAATTATATTACCCATGACAACTGGCCCGAAATTTGCCTCAAAAAAGGTCTTTTGATCATGTCAATTCAATTTCTTTTATGATCCCCACGTCCTTTGGGCCCAAACAGATGAAGATTTTTATGTGATTCACTTGTTTTGCCACATGATCTTCACAATGAATTTGAAATCAGCTGTGGCCCGAAAAAATCGGCGGTTTCCTGTTTGAAAACAGATTTTTTTTGGTGGGTTTGAGGACTAGCTATTGCCAGCTGCCTAGTTCATGAATTTGAGGTAGCTGTCAAGGTATTGAATGGCTTTTAAATCAGTTTTTTTCGGGGGATATTTTGAGATTTTCATGGTTTTTGACGATTTTTTGGCTGAAAATCGCAAATTTTAAGGAAAAAATCAAAAATTTCTGACGTAATGTCAGAGAGAATGGGGTAAATTATCTTTTGTATTTAAAAACCCGTCTATTCCAGGCTATTTTTAGTCATCAAAAACAAGATTTTCCCCCAAAACCCCTATATTTCTCTCAATTTTTTTCTTTTTCTATTTTTTTCCGTTATAAAAGTCAGAGAGGCCCATAAAAAATTTTGGAAATCCACCGAAAGACAGATTTATATTTATCACATCCCCTCGGGCAATTGGGCGTTCTCGAAACTTCCGCGTGGAACGCTTTTTTTTATCAGACAAACAAATTAGTCGGGGGTCGCCAAAATTCTCGTCATTATCGCGCAAAATTGTTGACAATAACAAGTTTATTGGTTGTTGGAAACATTGAGATGATAATAAAAAAAATAATTTTGTTGTAATTGTTTTGACTGATAAACTTTTGTTGAAGGCCGCACTGTGCGGTGAGATTTTTAGTCTAAAAATCACAGTGCAAGATAAAAAAAATTCTTTTTGCACTGTGCAGAAATGATTTTTTTTTGTCGCACCGACGATTTTTTCAATTTTTTTTATTGCACCGTGCAGTTTTCCATGATTTTTGTCTCCTCGCACTGTGCAAGCATCACAAAAAATTTTTCCGCACTGTGCGATGTCAATTTTCGGAATGAAATTGTCTACGCACGGTGCAGTTTTTAAAAATTTCTTTAGACTGCACTGTGCAAAAGTCAAATTCGTTTTCCGCACCGTGCACTCAACGAAAAATTTGCATTGCACCGTGCGATGTTATTTTCGATTTGAAAATGTCTTTGCACTGTGCATAAATATTTTTTCTCCCTGCACTGTGCAAAAATCAAATTTTCTTTTCCGCACCGTGCACTCAGCGAAAAATTTCTCTCTGCACCGTGCGATGCCATTTTCGGGTTGAAATTGTCTTTGCACTGTGCAATTTTCAAAAAATTTTTATTGACTGCCCTGTGCAAAAATCAATTTTCTTCTGCACCGTACGGTAAGAAAAAAATTTTGCTGCACCGTGCGACGTCATTTTCGGTTTGAAATTGCCGTTGCAACGTGAAATTTTCAAACTTTTTTAAACTGCACTGTGCAATAAATTTTTCTTAACTTTTTTAAATTTTGGTCCCACCATTAAGTTTCTTGCTCCCCAATTCCCCTTATTTTATACTGTTTTGCATAACAGAAACCTCATACGGAATTAGAGTCGTATATAGCCGTAATCTGTACCAGTTTTCAATTTGTAATCCGTAATCCGTCTTGCTCAAAAGAAGGGAGAGTGTGGGAGAAGAGGGGATTTGCTTTTTTTGGCATAGGAGAAGGGATATTCGGAAGGAAAATTGGGAGAGAAGATAACTGTTTGTTTTTGCACTGCATTGCGCCAAAAAACCTAACATATTAGGTTCATGCAAAAGGAATTGCGGATTTTTTAATTTATTCGTATTTTTTTATAGGATAGCTCAATTCAAAAATGGAAAAAGGTATATAGTAGTAAATTTTAAGAGGATTTTTTCTGTATATGTGCTATTCTTATAAAAGTTATCAAACGTTACCATAAGTTACCACGAAGGTACCCCAAACATGTTAGTACATTTTAAACCAATTTTTTTACATATTTTTTTGCGGCTTTATCCATTTTTGAAAATATTTTGATAAAATACGTTATATTCTATCAAAAAACAAAAAAACCCCATTTTTGGCAAAGCGTTAAAACGCTATCCCAAAAATTCAAATTTCAGCAAATTTTACAAATCGTGTCATATCTTTTTTTAATAAGTCCAAAATAAAAAAAAGACATCAAAATCTTGAATTTTATTTTTTGGTCAAAAAATGTCAAAAAAATAAATTTTTTTGATTTTGATGTTTTTTGCCACAAAAATCTTAAAAATGTTGTTACTAATCGAAAGCAAAAAGAATTTTTTATTTTGGACTTATTAAAAAAAAGATATGACACGATTTGTAAAATTTGCTGAAATTTGAATTTTTGGGATAGCGTTTTAACGCTTTGCCAAAAATGGGGTTTTTTTGTTTTTTGATAGAATATAACGTATTTTATCAAAATATTTTCAAAAATGGATAAAGCCGCAAAAAAATATGTAAAAAAATTGGTTTAAAATGTACTAACATGTTTGGGGTACCTTCGTGGTAACTTATGGTAACGTTTGATAACTTTTATAAGAATAGCACATATACAGAAAAAATCCTCTTAAAATTTACTACTATATACCTTTTTCCATTTTTGAATTGAGCTAGCCTATAAAAAAATACGAATAAATTAAAAAATCCGCAATTCCTTTTGCATCAACCTAAATAATAAGATTATGTTTGCTTTTGCAATCCATTTGTCGCTGCGATAAATGGATTGCACTGTGCGACACAATATTTTTTAGTTGAAATTGAGATGAAAAAAAGTATTTTTTTTTAAATTTTTACTGATTTTTTCGTGGAAAAAATTAATTTTTACCGATTTTTCACAGAAAAAATAGATTTTTTTCACCATCTGAAGCATCAAATTTCAGGCTTTGCTTTCGCTTCGCTTGCGCTCCCCATTAATCGCCATGTCCGCCGAAGAAGTCGCCGTCCCCGAGCCCGTCGTGGAGAACAACAACGCCGAGAAGAGCGAAGAGGTCAAGGGAGTGAAAGAAGTGGAGAAAAATGCGGAAAAAGTAGAGGAGAAGAAGGAAAATGGAAGCGAAGAGAATGGAAAGGAAGAAGAGGAAGAGGAGAAGGAAGAGGATGAGGACAAAGAGGACGAGGAGGACGAAGAGAACGAGGAGAAAGAGGAGAACGGAAAAGAAACGGAGGAGAATGGAAAAGCCAATGGAAAGGAGAAAGCGACGGTACGCAAAAATGAGCGATTTTTTTGTTGGAATTTTAGAGAAAGGAGAAAAATGAGGGAAATTTAAGAGACCTTTGACATCGTACTTGATATTAGAAAGTGATTGTAAAACCAAAAAATTGAAAAAAACTAAAAAAAATAGTCAAAAATTACGAAAATTTTTGGCAAAAATATAATAGAGAAAACCCCTGCTTCGACCCTTAAATTTAGACGAAGTTGTCGCTATCTTAGAACAGAATTTTTTGCACCGTATGCGAAGGCGTTGGCTTGTCATTTGCAGAAATTTGGGCCAAAAATGCGAAAAATTCCTAATTTTTGCGCCTTTGAAAAGACGTTGAATATCTCAGCCACAATTTCAAAGAGCCTTCTGACAATTTTTGGGATTCATCAGGGATCTACGTAGAGTATATTTGACAAATTTGAAGAAAATCCACCCAAAACTTTTTGAAAAATCGAGATTTTTTGAAAAAAACTCATCGTTTCCCCTATTTTTCGCAATTTTTTCATTTTTTCCATTTTTTCCTAATTTCTCATTTTCAGAAGCGCACCTCCGACGTGCACGAGGCCGAGGACGAGCCCTCCGCCAAGAAGGTCAAATCTGACGACGCGAGCGACGCCGCCGAGCCGGTCGCGGCCGCCGAATAGACTCCGCCCACTCTTTGCAGCCCTAATTATTTTGTTCAAGCCTTGTCTACGATGGTCTCGGCGTCTTATCCTCCTCCTCCCCCAGCTATATAATGTTCTGTTGTGTTGTGAAAATATGGCAACTTGAAAATCTGTCTCTTTATCCCGTGTTATATCGACATATTGTCTCTGCTCCTATTTAAATTTTTGTTTTGTAACCTTTTTAAAATATTTTAACGCGTTGCAGCGAAACGTTTGGAAAACTGAGGGCGTTGAAGGGCGATTTATCCGAATAAACTTTGATTCCCTCCGGCAATTTGAATTTTTTATCCAAGTTTTTTATTAGAATTGGGAAATCAAGCGAGCAGTAGGAGAAAAAGATGAATTTGGTTAAGTTGTCGGGCAAAAATAGGACTAGTGAGATTATAATAGTCGGTTGAAGATCATATGGCAGTAAGAAATATAAGAAAAAGCAAAAAAAAAGTTGAAAAAAAGACAATTTAGAAAATTGCACAGTGCAGAGATAATAATAATGGACCGCACAGTGCAGTGAAACAAAGATTTTTTTGCACTGTGCAATTTTTGATTTTTTGCACTGTGCAGCCCTTTGGAGGCAGTTTTACTTTTTTGCACTGTGCGTTAGCCAAAAAAGCCTAAAATCTCCAGTGCACTGTGCAAAATTAAAAATTGGGCAAAATTCAAAGGGAAAGTGGGAAAAAAGTAAAAAATATTACAAAATGAAACTATAATAGTAAATTTTGACTGTCTTTTAGTAATGATGAACTTCCTTGACAAATGTTGTCTTCTTTTTCGTGGTGCTTTTTGTCGCGGGTTTGGTTAGCTGGCTTTCTCCGGCTTCGTCGACAATCACCTGAAATTTCAAGCGGTTAGTTGTGGGATTAGTATGAAAAAAGAATAAAAAAATAAACAAAATAAATTAAGAAAACATTTTAAGAAAAATTAAGACTTTATTTTTCCGTATTTTATAAAAAAATATAAAATAATGGCTTAAAAATATTTAAAAACACAAAAAAAAGTTTCCAAAATAAAAAGAAATAAATTTCAATTTCAAAAAATCTCATTTTTATTATCACGCAACAACAAAAAAAAATTCAAAAACACATTTCTCTCTATACAACCATTGGCCTCACGTTTTTGTAATGCGAGATTACGCTCTTGTCCACACTTACTTGAAACCTGGGCGCAGCCTGCGGCACCGATCCGGGCGCACTTTTCACGGATTCGCTGTGCACAAGATGAACAGCTTTTTCCTCTTCGTCATCGTCGATCTGTCGAATATCCTCCGAGCTGATTGGGTCGATCGCTTTGTTCAGTTTGGCGGTCGTGTCGAGATTTCGATAGACCCCAACGGCTGTTAACAGCACCATCGCGCCGAGATAAAGGGCGATTCCAGTGCAAGTCAGCGTCACAACTTTGTCGAATTCGATGAAATCGTTGTAATCCATCGTCTGCAAAAATGATATTTTCGGAAAAAAAATTTTTTTTGAGAAAAGTGACATTTTATACGAAAAAAAATTTGAAAATTTTTAGTCGCAGATTTTGACAAAACTTGGCAGAAATAAAGAATGGTATTTTCTAACATGTCTCTGAAATTTTCAGCCCGCGTTAAGCAGAAACAACCGAGAATTTTAAGGCGAAAAATCAAAAAATTCCGAATTTCTTAAATTTTCAGACAAAAATCGGTGTTTTGGATATTTGTATAATAAATCATACCTGCACTGTAAACGCAGAAAGCACTGCCGTATAAAGCGAGCGGAAGTAACTGTCCGGAATTGCCGATGAATATAGGATGACACTGAACGCGATGAGGAACCACACGTAGATTGCCGAACATGTGAAAAGGATGTGAGTCTCATTTATCGATTTGTCATGGAGCTTTCGTCGCAGAACCCACTGAAAATGGGTGTTTGATAGCGGTTTTTAAGGTTCAGGGAGACAGTCGACCCAATTTTTTTATGAGAGAAAGGCTTGACTCCAGAGGAGAACTTGACTCAAATCAGAGATTTTGGCTGATTTTACACCGTATTGAACAGGGAATTTGAACTAAGATTGTAAAAAAATTTCGTAGAAACACTTGACTCATGTTTTTCAATTTGAGGAAGACTTGACACAAGAGCAAAAAATTCTTCAAAAACCATATTTCGGCAATATTTTCTATGTGAAAAACATATCTTCCAAATTTCAAGGCCCAAAATTTGCGAGGGCAAGACTTGACTCATTTTCTGAATCTTTCGAGGAACACTTGACCACACAAAAGAAAACGTAAGACTTGACCCACAGACCCATCTTGGGCCTAAATTTTAATCAGAGAAACACTTGCACAAGAGATAAACATAAAAATCTGATATAAAAAATCTTGACCCATTTACCTTGATGGAGCACAACGTTGAGAACGCCCAAACCACAATAGTTCCCATGTAGAACGGAACTCCGACGGAGGCATAAAACAGTGCAAAGATCTGTCCACCGATCGTTTTTGGGGCCCTCGAGCCATGTCCCATTGTTGTGAGAAGCGCCCAACAGTAGGTCAGGGAGTTCGTGAACGACCACGCCTCTTCCACGGGCCGAGTAATCGGCAATTCGGACTCATAAACTTTGAGGTGACGATAGAGTAGCTCCTAGAAGGTTTTACTACCATTTTTTAGTGGCAAATCTTACCTCCATCCTGGCTTGGTTCACCTTGTCCACGATCACCAACATGTTGGCGGTTTGATTGAAAAGCGAAGCCGTAATCTCCCTCGAGGCATGTTTTCGATTTGCTCCAAGCCGCAGATGGAATCGTTTAATGTAGTTCTCATGATTCGCATGCTCAAATGCCAGAAAGGCGGTAGCACCGATGAGTAGGTAGATCAGCAATGCGAGCAAGAGCAGGAGTGGCGCCAGTCTTCGGGCGATGACGAAAACATCCGGCGGAATTCGACGATGCGCCTTTTTCACTGATTCGTTCAGCCAGTTCATTGCTGAAAACAGTTTTATACATGAATTGTAACAATGAAAGTAAGTGGAAATGGCTTATTGTGCACAGACATAGAACATGTAGTGGTGTCTCTGTAAAAAAATATTTTTTAAATTACGTGTTGCCGTATTACTGCTTTGTATTTTATATGTAAAAACTGGCTTTTCAAACCGCCGGAAAAAAATTAAACTGATCAGAGAAGATAATCAATGAGCACCACCATTGATTGCGCAGTCTAAGAAAGGTCTTGAGTACGGCCTTCCGGCACACAAAAAGTCCGGACAATTTTGTACAGTGCGGGTTGGCGCGTATTGGCGTTGAGTTCTGCGACCTTTGCAATGTTTGTTATCAGTCTGCCGGGAGACCCTTTTTCGAAGAGACAAAAAATTTTGCTGCGACGACCCGTCACTATTTTCCCGACAGACTGATACACTACTTTCCCCACAGATTGACACCTTGTGAGCTTATTATCGGCCCACTCATACGATCGGCAAAGTCGCTTGAATGATTCCTGCGAGGCGCACTGTGCAAAAACATCAGGTTGCGAGCGACAGTTAAAAACCCTATTACAGGGTGGCCCAAAAAATGGAAACTTTTTTCCATGGGTCCTGCCGCGAAAACCGTGAGGTGTTGCCAAATAATTTTCTCATCGTTAAATTCTCCGTATTTTTCTGCCATAGGTCTTTTATTTTCATGCCCATATCGCTTTCTTCACATGTTTTTTTGAATGTCAAACAAAGGGGACTCGACTCATCATTAATTTGGCTAAATTTGAATAGTTAACTGAAATATGGCTATAAATATTAGGTTTGCCGCCATTGGAATTTTTTTTGACGGGGCGAAGTATCGTCGAATATTTTGCTGCGATGACCCAATCACTATTTTCCCTACAGACCAATAGCATACAATTTATTCGGTCGTCCAGAAAGTTCGTTCGTTTTTTCATTCCTTTGTTTTACAAGAATTGTTTGTTCTTTGACAAATGGAGTATATTTATCTGATACAGCTTTTTCTCCTCTACAAAACTGACTGTATCAAATAAATATATATCCCTTGCCAAACATCAAACAATCCTCGTAAAACAAAGCAATGAAAAAAACGACCGAACTTTCTGGGCGACCTAGTATAACAAACGATTGCAGAGGTCCCATGAGTTAATTCTAGGCCAAAATGAAGCTCCGTAAAACAAGACTCTTCTATATCGGACATGTCTTTGTAGGTCCTCGAGACTCATTGCCAATATTTCACCTCAAATAATCCTTACTTTTCTCCATCGACCCACCAAGTCCACCGTCCTCCTTGCCCTCGGCTGACATTTTTTGCAACCCCGGTCGGATGACTGCAGCTCGGCTGGGCTTGGCTCTCCCCGGCTAATTTCACAGCTCAAGCCAATCGCAGCGCGGAAATTGCCTGAACTTTCATTGCAACAACAAAAACGGAGTCATAGCGCAAAGCGGAAAGTCAACTAATTTCGCAGGTGGGAAAAGAGCGCCTTCTCCCCCACCCGCGCGTCTGTGCAGCGGTTTCATGTCGCTGAAGAGGTTGAGTACCCTCTTTAGCGGTGTCAGAAGGGAAAGTTGAAAAATTAAATAGTCAGAGGGAAGGAGAGGTGGAGGTGTTGTGGCGGGGAGATTGAAGGGAACATCGGTAGGATGCATAGGGAATTCTTTATAACAAACAAAAATGAAAAAAATTGTTTTTTTTTTTTGAAAATTATTTACATACACAAAAGATGACTAAAATTTTTTGCTCGGAATGATGCAAAAAAACAGCAGCCTAAAAATCAATTCGTGATTTTATCGTATTTCTTGCACCGTGCAAGAAAACTCATTTTTATATCTTCGCACGGTGCAAAAAAAAATAATTTTTATTTGCACTGTGCAAATTTTATTTTTATTTTTTTCCGTCAAAAATTTACGGAGAAAATTGTTCAAAAATAAAATGTGATTTTCTTTGGCCACGCAAAAAAAAAAATAAATAAAAAATAAAAAAAAATTTTGCACCGTGCATATTTTTTTTTTTTTTTTTTTTTTGAGTTTTCGCATAGTCCAAACAAAAATAAAAGACGTTATGTTAGCACGCGCCGTATTTTACCCAAATCCCACTCAAAAATCCCCCTATTTCACCTGGAAAATCCTCAAAAATCAACAGATACTTGGAGGAAGAGCAGTGTTCTTCCGATTATTACACAAACACAAGGAATTAGGGCCGGTCCATTGGGTGGAAACAAAACATTTTTTGCGGCGCCCAATTACGGATTATTAGTTGGTGCGCAAAACAAAAGAGAGATGAGCCGGATAACTGCTGGGTGAGGTAATACTCAGTTAAATTTTTTAGAGAAAAAATGGATTTTTTGGTATGCAAATTTCTGAAATTTTCCGGTGGACTTAAGAATTGGATTTTTTGATCATAAAATTGATAAAACAATCATATATGCAAATTTTTTAAATAATTAAATTTAAAAAATGCAAACTTTTTTAATTATGAAATTTCTCAAAGTCATGCTATTTTTTGGGCTTGGAATGTGAAAATCGCACTTTAAAATTGCCAATTTGTAGCCATATGCAAAATTTTTTCAAAATTCTGCAATTTTTATAAATGAAAAAATTTGATTAAAAAATTATTTAGGGTTTTTATCAATTTTTATCGTGAAAAATCAAATGAAAGGTTGACACCAACCGTATTTTACCAAAAAGGAATCCTAAAATCACCCCGGCGATATATGGTCTACATCAATCTGTCGGGAAAATAATGTGGATTTGTCGCAACAAAACTATCTCATCTCGTCGCAGTCGCGCAACAAGGATCCAGCTGCGGATAGCTGTCGCAAAGCGATGACGGGCGATTTCACAACGCGATGGATCCGCATTGTTTTACCGACAGGAGATAACAGTGACCGAATTAATCCAGTCTCAAAAGATCTACCATTTTGCATCCGGGAGGTATCAAAAAATGTGGCAAAAAGCCTCCCCCTCGAACTAAAAAATCTCATTTTTCAAGGGTGCGGCTTTAAATCGAAGTTTTTTACTTGGATAGAGAGGTATTTGGAGGTATTTTGCTATATTTTTTGGTACTTCCCGGATACCAAATGGTATGTTTTTTTGCCACTGGGCCAGTTCCGCCAGTGTTATTTTTCACAGCAAAAGTAAAACAGAGATTCGTCGTATTTTATCAAAAAAAATCTCAAAACTCGCCCGTTCATAAACCCCGCTAGCCCCAAAAACGTTCCCCCCTCCTCATTACGCTTGTTTTCGGCTCGATATTACAACAAGAAGTGCGCTTAATACCCGTGCGGATGCCATTAAAACAATTTGCGCGCTGGATTTATTCCCGATATTGCGCAATTCATTTCGCGCAATCGGGCCTTCAACCTTAATGAGGCCAAAAATTGGGCGATTAATCATAAGTCCAAAGCGCTAAATTTTCGAGTTCATGTCAAATGAATAACATTTTTGGAGGATGGACTTGGAAGAGGGCGTATTTTACACTTACTTACTTGTTTTCAGAGGGAAATTTGACGTCAAGCGCGATGAGATTTTCTCGTCTTCTGTTCTCTTCGACGCGGAAATTGAGTTGAAACGGAACCCTGAAAAAACAAACAGCGAAATTGGACAATTTGATTAATTGTGAACAAATTGCAAACGATAGAATTATTTAATTTTATACACGACCGTTCGCAAAGTCGCTCGAGTGATTGGGAATTTTGAAAAGGTCCGGGACCCAACGTTTTTGGAGCTGGGCCGAGGAATTTCACGAGCCTCTTGGGCCGGCCCCATTCTCAGAAAATGTTGGCGACTTTACTGAAACCGCCAATTCTTTCCCACGAATTTGCATAAAATCAAAGGACAAAGTCTTCATCAGATCAATTTCCCCTATTCTCAGAAGTCGGTTTTTCTCGCTCCTCTTGAGCGGTTGTATTTTGTATTCCTGTGTCCGGCCAATAAACTCTATCGTTCCCTATTGTGTCTACTTTCGTTATATGGGGGCTCAGCCGAATATATATATTTCGTTTTATGGGGGCTCAGCCGACTAAAAATTTCTTGAGTCGGATTGAATAAATCCTTGAAAAAATGGTAATTGAAGGTGGAGACTGTTGGATATTTCTTACCAAGAACGGAGCACGGCGGACATCTCGGTGTAACTTAAGCAAATAAAAAAACAATAAAATCAAAATTAAAATTTTCAAACGGGACGAGCCGGGCCAATTTTTTCGGGCCGGCCCGAAGGAAGCCCCATCAGCCATATCTTGTGGAATTTTCTTGTTTTTTGCATTGCACCCTGACTTTTTTTGCACAGTGAAAACGCCAAAATTCAGCCGCCGGCTCTCCAAACGGACTATCCAGTCTGTCGGGAAAATAATGAGTCCTCTGTCGCATCCAAGAAAGCATCGCCGCGGCGAAAAAATGAACTGTCAAATTGATTTTTATTTCAGCGACCCGATCGGCCCAGCGACATTGGCCTCATTATTTTCTCGACAGACTGGTGGTAAGATAAAACTAATTAAAAATAAATTATTTTTTTTGTTGTAAAAAGGTTTAGGGGCACAATATTTGTAATTCTTCCCTTTTGCCCAAAAGCCCAACCCACCAAAAAAACTCTTCATATAATAAATACCATCAAGCCCTGGTTTCGACGGTTTGGAAGTGTAATATAATGTTAGGAAAATAATATAATATCTCAATCCTTGGGAGACGTTTTTTGCGCCTCCCCAAACTCCTCAACGCACCCTCATCAGATATCCATTCGCGCTGCTCGTCGTATCAAAAATTCAATTTCATTGACAAGACCAAAGATATTCCCCTTTCCCCAAAATATTTTCGGACTATACAAAAAGTTTTTTTTCGCTGCAAAGACGGCCTTGTGCGCAACATGAAGTCTTTTTAAGAAGTTTGCGAAATTTGCATATCGCCTCGGGGGAATTGAGTGGATAAAGGGGATAAGGGACGCGCGGCAACGGATATTGAGGTCATTCGCGGAGGGAGATAAAGGAATATGAAAATGTGTGTCAAATTTGAATAAAATGTCATGAACAAAACGAGATGGAAAAAATCAAAAAAACAAAAAAAAAAAAAAAATTAAATAAAAAAAAAAAATTTAAATTTAAAGGTGATAGTCGAAGCCTCAATCTATTTGAAAATAATGAGCACAATGCCGCTATGATAATCGCTGATTTCATTTTGCCGCGACACAACTCATTTTCAATGCAATTTTCGATGCGACAGAGTGCTCCTTATTTTCCCGACAGCCTGTTAAAAAACAACTTGAAAGGTCACAAAGGTTACATGTGGGTCAAACAGCATTGCCGGGGCAGCCGGAATACTCTTTGCCGTCAATAGAATACGCAAAACGCGGAGAGCGGTTAGAGACAAAAAATCTGTTTTTTGCCGTATCTTTGGCAGTTTTGCATAGAAAAATTTGATTTTTTGTAGAGACCCCATACTTTATGGTAGAAATCAAACACATGCAAAAACTGTCAGCCGAGGCAAAGAGGACGGTGAGATTTGAGGATTATTTTTGTCAAAATCTGTACAAAGAATTTGTAGGAGTCGAAAAGATTTGTTCGTTATGGAAAGTTTCGTTGTACGGAGCTTCATTTTAGCATATAAGTTGCTGAAAAAACATTTGCAATCATTTTTTATACTAATCCTATATTGCCCGAATTTCTGGAAAGACTAGTTTCAGGTGCCATATATTGATAATTTCCCAAAAAATCGATTAAAAAAATCTGGATTGTATGCAACACCCCCAAAACAACACAATATATGGCTGATTAAAGTTTTTTCTACGAAAAAAAACTTGGTTTGAAACGAAAAATCGAAACAAATTTGGAAAGAAATCCGTCCACAAAAAGTCATGGCCGAAGGGGGAATCCGGGCACCGGAAGGCGGATTCATTGTGAATTTGGGGAATGGGTCGGCTTCGGAAAACAACATGAAAGAAAGCCATCTTTCATGGGCAACAATCCAATTTGGGAACATTGAAAGCATTATCAGAGAAAAACAGAAAATAATTGTAGGTAGTTACTATGGTAGGTCTTAGACCTCTGCATGATATCTTACATAAAAAAATGACAAAAGGAAGTGTCGAAATTGCGACACGCAGTTTTTATTTCTTTTTTGACACGTTAATTGTTGAAAATTCAACAATTTTAGCACGCGCTTTGCTAGGACCGCCGAGGAATTTATCATAGATTATTAGAGAGTAGGCAAAACGCGGAGGACGGTTACAGAGAAAAATGCGGTTTGGCCATATATGCGACTAAATGGCCATCGCGCATCCGGCACAAAAAATGCATTTTCCCAGCGCAATTTTGTTTTTTTTGCACTACGTCGCGCGCGATTCCCATTTTTGCAGCGACAAATCAATTTGGGGAATACTTTTTTACCAACCTAAAACGACAAAACCATGAAAATTCCAACTTTTTGGCAGTTTTTCAAACATCCATTGCAGTCGTTGAAAAGCATAATGGGCGATTCAAAGCCACGACAAATCCACATTATTTTCCCGACAAAGTGATAAAAGGTCTCGTAAGCTGAAACCTTCAGGTGAAAAAAATCTGAGCGAGCCTCTATCCGGTCAAATGCAAATTCCAAAAAAAACTTTTTTCCCACCTTGTCCATTTTTGGGCATTTCCGTTTTGTGTTTTTTTCAAAAATTGGCCTTCTCGTTGTGACCACGGATGGCGTGAAAACATATTCTCCAAAGCAACGGCCGAAAAGAAAGGGCGGAAACGGCCGGCTCTCACGCCATTCTCGCTGGACATTGACCACCCCAACCGATTCTATTCGGTGGGATTTTTTACGGTAGTAAGTGTAATATGAGAGTAAAGAAAGTATATAGTATTTATTTTATATAATACGTAAAGCAAGTATGTATGTATGATGCAAAAATTTGGCAATGTTGGAAAAAGCAAAAAAAATTTTGTTGTCTGAAATTGCATGTCGGAAAAATAATGCGGATTTGTCGCAGTAAAAGGCATCGCCTCGTCGCAACCGCGAACCAAATCTCCAGCCGCAGCTGGCCGTTCCAAAGCGATCATGGGCGATTCCAAAGCGTGGCCAATCCACATTGTTTTCCCGACAGATTGATAAATATTTCAGGGACTTACACGTGTTTTGTTATTATGCTCACAAAATATCGGCGAGATGCAAATTACAAGGGCGCCCTGTGCGGTATCATTTGCGCAACATAGGCCCATTTGGCCCAAGTAAACAAAAAAGACGCGTTCCCATAGAACGCACCCCAAAAAAGATAAGATTATTTTCCCAACGATGGTGATAAAAATAGATATATAAAACAGGGAAAAGAAGGAGGAATTCAGTACAAGAGAAAGATACGAGGTTGCGTTGTGCCAGCCTTCAGCCGAGAAAGCGTCGTTGACTTATGCGCCAGAAATAGCCTTGCTTTTTCGGTTTATGTTCTATATTTAATGACCAATTGAATTGTATGTGTGCGTGTACAATCTCGGCGGCTTTGTAGAGGCACCGCACGTCAAAACAATTCTTTCAGAAAATTGAAAAAAAAACAAGGAATCTCGGATCATTGATTTTTTGCCAAGTGCCACAGAATTATTGAGCTTGAAAAATTATTTTCCTCTTCGAAAAAACATTTTTCTCGAAATTCTCTGAGAAAGTTTTCTTTTGTGACTCGATAATTCAGCGACATTTCGTCAAAAATCAATGGTCCGAGGTTCCTTGTTTTTTCACTTTTTCTTTGACGTGCACCGTAAGACATCCCGTCTTATGACTTATACGACGACGTTATACTCTTTTGAATTTGTGAAAAATTTTTATATCGTATAACGTGTCACACCTTATTTTTTCATTTTGCTTATTTTTTTTAATTTAAAAAATGTCATCGTATAACATGGTACACCTTATTTTTCTTATTTTGAAAAATTTTTTCATCGTATAACATGTCACACCTTATTTTTCCTTTTTAAAAAAACATTTTTCATCGTATAACATGTCGCACCTGATTTTTCCATTTCGAAAAAAAATTTTCATCGTATAAAATGTCACACCTGATTTTTCCATTTTGAAAAAAATTTTCTTCGTATAACATGTCACACCTGATTTTTCCATTTTGAAAAAAAATTTTCATCGTATAAAATGTCACACTCCATTTTTTAATCTCAAGCGGACAGGTGAAATCTGCGATTCAACTGGAGCGCTCCGAGGTATCGTAATAACCCGAGGGCGTTACTAACGGTGGAGAATACACTCGTAATGATGAAAAATTCGGGACCGGCTCTCGTCTTCGTAAAGGGTTGCCGAAAGCGCTTAGCAACTGTCTAAGAACGTCCTCGGACAGGAGATCCGACCGTATCTACACTGCAATTTCTCCACACTTATCTTACAATAATCAAGAGGAGAAGGATACGACAGAAAGTCCGTAAGTATTATAATTTACGATATCTAAAACGGAGAAGGCCAGCTATGACTTGCGGCCCCAGGTTCAAGAATGACATTACTAGGTCAGAAAACCCAGGCTGGCCAATGATTGACCGCGCCGTCGTAGTGGCCGGAGTCATCTCCTCATCAATGGTAAGAGCATTCTTGGGGATCTTGTTCAAATACGGTCAAGAATGGAGCGTACAATCATCGGCACTCGGCGCATCGTAGGAAAAAACGCCATGTCCTACCGCACTCAATTGAGGAACGTAAAGTAAGTGGGAAGTTGAACCGCAGCAACGTGAACCACGCCTGGAACGACACGGGACACGAATGGCCTATCCAAGGATGATCGAAACATCCCGCCCCGAAGAATGGAAACGGTGGCCGACTTAAGCCACTACTTTGGACCGGGCAGGAAACAGCGCTTCAACATCGACTACACGGAACAGTTATCGCGCATGTCTCCTCATTTTGCGTTGTTGAAATCATTAAGAGAAATGAGCGTTGGGGAGGAAACGCTTCCCAGTACTCGTGGAGGCCACAGTGCCTATAGTGAACTCTTACTGGAAACGTAATTATCCACATATTGACGCCGCGATAACGCGAGCTATAGTCACCGACGCCTCGGTGACTATAGCGGGGTCCCAATAACCATTCCAGATTTGGGAGCCATCACTTACCTCGGGAAATGAGGTGAGAGTATCAGACGGGACGTCCGATTGCGATATACCCGTAAGTTTATCGTGTGATACAAGGGCGCAACGCAATATTTAATCAATGAGGTATGCATGTATTCGATGTGTCGAGTGACTGGGTTAGACATAAAAAGTCACTTTTCTGTAAAGCATAGTCAGCCCATGGTGGTACCCACAACACAGGAAAATGGAAGTGCAGCTCGGCGAGCTTGAGACGTCCGGCGTATGGTCGATAAATACTCATCACTCTCTCGGAGTTCAAAGTTGACTCACAGGCATCGTATAGAGTAAATATAATAAATATTATAATAGTGTGTGTTATATTGTATTAGATATATTAATGTCTAATGTCTATTAATGTCTAATATATTAATGTCTAATGTCTAATGTATTAGATAATATTACAAGCTACAAGCCGACTGTTTGTTGAATATTTCTCGGTTGCGCCTCAAATCGATATGTGGCCTATGCGCGACGAGTGCGGAAACTTCAAAGACGGTGTGGGCGTCGCACTTGGGATCGACATACGACAAATATTGCATGATGGTCCCGTTCTCTGCCCCCTTACTGGTTCAACAGCATGTGAATGCAGCGGGAATGCAAATATGGAAATTGAATCCGTATAAAATGGCCGAAGCGGTAAGCTGCGACATCATAAACCTCTTCAATTGGCAGTCGGTTTTTTTATTCTTATTATAAACCCGCAAAAAATTCTTGACGCCTTTTCGCATGGATTGTGCAGTTTTATCTAGCGACGAAACGTTCGATTTCCTTTCTCAAAATCAGCACTCCGCGCAACGTGGTCGGCGTACACCGTGAATTTTACTTGTCGCCTTGCGGCAAGAATTTTGCCGCGGTTACAGCGCAAACATGTCAAAACTTTGTGGCCCGCCTAATATCAGTCTGTCGGGAAAATAACATGCTCAACGTCGCTCCACCGATCGTGTTGGTGAGGTGAAAAGCAATTTCATTTTTCCGCGACACCATTCATTTTCTGGGCGGTGCAATCTTCGATTCTTATACTGCCCATTATTTTCCCGACAGACTAATATTTTTTCCCCGAGTTTTTTTCTCTACTGCACAGAAAATTTCATTTAGGAAAATGGCCGATGATCACTACATCCCTACGGAAAGCCAAATAAAACTGGCGACACATCGAACACGATTTTTAATGCACACTCTGTGCTTCACCGGACTAATGTACAAGTACAAAGTGGTTGAGGGAAACGAGAGGGTGTTGAGGATGATCAGAGCAATATTCTTGATCAATCTGGGTAAGTCGATAAAACTATGCGTTTGTTGAGATTTTCCGGCGCACGGGGGAGTACTACACATACCTCAAGTGCAACGCTTATATTTTGATGAAATTGGCATAAATTCAGAATGTTTTTACGGCCCATGCGCGGCTGTTTTTTGCGGATTTTGGCATGTAAATTTATACCTATTGCTACCGTAGAGGGTAATTTTTCCACCAAAGATCACTTTAATCATTCTCGTTTTCTTCTCTCACCGCTCTTCGCATTTCGCGTATTCTTTCGGCCGCAAAAATTGTACGATATCTCGGCTACACATGCATAGGTTGGGTTAAAAATTTCAAGAATTGATATGTGCTCTATGACCGACGTATGCGCAAAATATAAAACGAATATGACCCTCGCGTTGGGGCAATTTACGTTGGTAGCGGAACTACTCAAAAAACGCTATTTCCAAAAAAATCTAAATTTCTTTAAAGTTTAGTTGGAATCCAGATGCTCTACAGTATCTATTACGTTTTCGGAGTTGGCGGCTCCCATCGTGAACGCTCAGTCGTGGTGCTATGTTGGCTTTTTCAATCATTCATGTCAATGGTAAGCCTAAAATTTTCACGACGCGGAGATGTGTAACCGTATTTTACAAGCAATTATTCGCCTTCAGTGTCTCCTGGTTTGGTGGCAATACAAAGGCCGGACCCGTTTTCTGATCCGAATCCTGCCTTGGGAGGCGCTGAAGCAGAGCCGGCTTCAGACTAGAAAGATCGGCTTCTTCGGAATCATGGTCGTGATGGTGGTGGTGTCCGTGGTGTCGTTTGTGATGAACGCCGTGAACCCGAAGAACGCGGTGTTTGACCGGAGGGTCTTGAGTGTAAGTTTCAAGTCTTGACGGGTCGAAAGTGCTGTAAAAACAAGGAGCAATTTGAGTGCGATTTTCTCGGTGGTGATATGATTTTTGATGCGACAGAGTCCTCATTATTTTTCCGACAGACTGATTCTGTCTCCCATAAAACGGAACCTGCATATAGCGGAAAATTTCCAGGGTCTCAATACCCAATAATAGGCCAAAGTTAGTCTACGTATATCGACGTTATGACAGAACAACAAAAAGCTTTTTTGGTACCTTTCAATTCGTAACATAAAGTTGACTGTTTTTTCGATCTAGCTTCTAGAAAATAAATAAAATTTTTTAGCCTTTCTACGGCTGGGAGCGTACGATCAATTATGCGATAGTCATGTACGCCTTCTTCGTCTGGTCAGCCGTGTTTACCATGTATTCTGTGCTTCTTCTGGTCATCCACGAAGAGGTCGTGTTGTTGAATCAGGCTGTGGAAAAGGTAATATTTCAAAGCACACATACGCATAGTGGTGGGCCCGGAAATTCCACAAGCCCGGCTCTCTAGCCATGTTTGTTAGAGGGTGTTTCAAGAAATCTGGAGGCGAGTAATCGCTGATTTTTTGTGTCTAGTGTACAGTCTTAAGCTTGTGACCTATAGCCTACAAAATCGGCGATTACTCCCTCCACATTCCTTAAAAAACTTTGACTGAAATCAATTGCAATATGCAGATTGGAAGCCCCGAATTTGACAAAATGACTCTCACCGAGCAGCTTCTACAGCTCCATGAGCGACACGCTTCCCTTTGCTTCGCTCTCCAGCAGACCGACCAGACCTTTGAAGTGTACAATTTCGTCATGTTCACCACCAACATCCCTACTACAATATTTGCGCTATTGTCGTGTTACGATGCGATCATGAGCTCGCAAACGATCGATATGATAATCCTGCTGCCTGAGCTGGTTTTCTGCATCATTGAGATCTTGGGGCTCACCATGGTCCCAGCCAAAATTACGGCTACAGTAAGTGGAATTGAGGGTCTAAAAATTTCTTGACTCCCTTTTCAGCTCGAAACCACCGAGCGTTTGCTCTACAACAACCGAAATCTGTGGAAGAAGTACGATCCGGACGTTCATATCATAGTGAACACATTTGTCAAGCAGAACCGTCAACCCGGCCTGGGAATGTCCGTATGGGGATTCGCGATCGTCACCAAGTCGCTGGTTTTGACTACAGCGTCACTGGTCATCACCTACATGACATTGTTATTGCAGATGAGCCAATCGCCCGGAGAGACCGGCGCGATCTTCCAAAAGCTGTTGAACAGTAGCAATAACGTCGATGAAGTTGGTGGAAATTTTACTGTATAAAGACGGGCTGCAGTCCAAATTTGATTAGATTGGCCGGTTGTTCACTGTGTGATTATTTATTATATATATTTTTGCACTATAATTGTATTGACCTTGTAAAAAATGGAAGCAAATAAACCTATTTTTTGCATTATAAACACATATGTATTTACTATTAGATTAAAGACCTGCACGAGTGTCCAGATCTCTCACTTGGTCGCCTCGAACCACCGTTGCAGTCTTGAAAAGCGATGATGGGCGATTCCAAGGCCAACAAACCCACATTATTTTCCCGACAAATTATAAATCGAGTTGAACTTAAAATTCTATATTTTGCAAAACTCTTGATGGACATTAAAACACAATCGGTTTTCAATTTTATAAGCTTTCAGTGTGACTGTTTACACTTCGCCTTGTTGACTGTGCATTCGAATCTCCGATTTTGGAACTTCGGCAGTCGACACAACCACAGGTCATAATCCGGATCTGCTCAATGAAGGCACAGCGGTATTCGCGGCTAAAACAAGCAATACATTATTGTAAGATACTTGCCAGGAAAATAATGAGCATTTATGCAACGTAAATCGAATCGCCGACGGGAAAATGAATCGTCCCGACAATATCAAATTGCTTTTCACTTTAGCGACACTATCGGCGCAGCGAAATTATACTCATTATTTTGCCGACAGGCTGACAATTTGACGCCTTCATCTTACATATATATAAAATATGTATCAAGCAAAAACTCACTTCATGGCATAGTAGATGAAATAATTCAGCGCCACACTCAAATTCAACGCGAATCCCGCGTACATGCTGTTCAGAGTGTTGACCGTGACGCCCATAAATGGCATGGCATTCATTAGGACCATGCTGATGAACCACCCACCAACCACGCACAGACTGACCACAGTGACCGACCGAAGCAACTGTCGAGATTTGGAGTACCTCCTCATCCTCACTATCAGCCATATAAGGCCGTAAGCAAGCAGCGTGACGATTGATAGGCCGAGATAAACTTCGAAGACAAGCCCAAGCGACTCGTCGTCATATCCACCGGCAACCATGCAGATTGCAGGCGCTGTCTGATTCAATAACATACGATTGTAGGCGTAGTAACCGAGTCCGATGGGCAAGGTGAAAGCGAAGAGCATTAGAGTCGTGATATAACAGAGTTTGTTGAGGCCCTGGTAACTGAAATCGAAGAATTTAAGGGGGCGATGTAAGTTTAAAACAGGTATCGGGCTGTCGGGAAAATAAATAATGATCACTTAACCAGTTTGCGGGCAAATTTTTTGCGGGCAACCACTTTGCGGGCAAAATTTGGGGGGTCACATTTGCGGGCAGCTGAGACACTTGCGGGCAGCCTGGGACACTTGCGGGCAACCGACACTTGCGGGCAGCCGACATTTGCGGGCAACCGGCACCTGAGGGTAACAGGGTGGAGGTGGAAATATTACTGCGATATTTTGGAAATTTGCCGACATTTGCGGGCAACCGACACTTGCGGGCAGCCGACATTTGCGGGCAACAGGAAAAACAATCACACAGACTGTATTGGTACTTTTGGAACTGTTGCCCGCAAATGTCGGCTTCCCGCAAGTATTGCCTGCCCGCAAATGTCGGAAAACTTCCAAAATATCGAAGTAATTTTTCCACCTCCACCTTGTTATCCTCAAGTGCCGGTTGCCCGCAAATGTGCCCCCGCCATACACTGCAGTGTATGTTTCCAGTGCACTGTGCGAAAACAAACGTTAACTTTGCGCGGTGCAAGTGGCTTTTTCGGCTGTCGCTTACGCCATGATTCTTGACGAATGCCATCGAAAGGAACCCCTCGTCGAGAGGAACCCCTTGTTGAGAGGAACCCCTCGTGGAGAGGAACCCCTCGTCGAGAGGAACCCGTCGCGAGGGGTTCCTCTCGATGATATGCAGCACAAATTCGCAAAAGTTAAAACAGTTTTATCAGTCTGTCATGAAAATGATGTGGATTGGTCATGCCTTGGACTCGCCTATCATTTCTTTACGATGGCTAGCCGTGGCTGGAGTCTTGGTCCGGATTGCGGCGAAGCCATCATTTCCCTGCGACAAATTCATATATTATTTCCCCGACAGACTGATATGAAAACACTAATAAAAGAGTGGCTTACGCAATTGGCTTGGTCATGCAGAAAACCCTGTCAACCGCAATGATCAGCAACATAATACAGCCAAGATGTGCGCCGGAGAAGGGGAGGTTCTGAATATGGAAGCATTGAAATAAATTCGTCTGTATGTCATTGAAGTACAGATACGCCCAAAGTAGATGGCCACAATGATGAATGACGTCGGCAATTGCGGTGATGGTGATCAAGATGTTGCAACTCGAACGTAAGGACCTAAACTTGAAAAAAAAATTTTGTATCAGTTTGTCGGGAAAATAATGAGCACTCTGTCGCATCGAAAATTGAATCGTCCCAGAGAAAATAAATTGCTTTGCGGCAAAGATAAATTGCTTTCACTTCAACGACATTTTCCTGCGACAAATCGACATTATTTTCCCGACAGACTGATAACAAAATAAACGCACTTTTTGCGAACCCCAGCCCACGCAACATTCAGGTTTCCAAAGATTCCGATTATCGAGATGACGGCCAGAATTATTGTGGGTGTAGCTATGTTTTCAAAAATATCTTTTAGATGGTCCCACATTACAAATTTTTAGAAAGGCAGCGTTGAAAACAACAGCGTAGGGTTGAGGTGAACACACTTTTTTGCCTTACGTAAAAATATATGGTAATGTGCCAAGCGCATCATGTTTTTATGTGGTCGTTTGATGCTTGACGCATTTATGGACATGACTACTATGCTTTTTCGAAAGTGCGTAGTCTTTTTTTGTGGCGCAAAATTCATTGCGACACAGTTAAAGAACCTTGCTTACAACAGGAAATAAATAAGGACAACCAGACATTTTTAGAGGTCCAGATACCATTTTTTGAAAACAAACTCCGATAACTTTGGAAGCGGTAGATGAATTCAATAGATTGGTGTGCATGTCTGTACCATGGGGTTTCCACTGCGAAATTTCTTTTATACTACGTAGTTTACGGTAGAAAAATCGCGATTCTAATCGGTAAATATCAGCTGCCGCGGTGTGGTTGCCAGAAAGAGTCGCGACGTTCCAGTATATTCCGAGCAGTCCTTGAACCGACCCTCATTATCATGACGTATCCTGCTGATTTCTAGAGCATTCTTGAAATGCGTAAAACTGCATTCAAACCACTAGAACAAAATTTTGAATTTTCAAGATGAATTAAAAATACAATTCATATTGCCACGTGGTGCTTCTGTTCATGGTGTTTGTGCCTTCGGGGATTGTTATAACACAGCTCTCTGGCTTGAAAATTCAGGTAAATTGGTTTATATATAATATTATTTATTTGCAATCTTCATAAATTAAATTAACAATTCTTCTTGAAATATTGACATATAAACTAACGAATCCATATACATGCTATAATATATACAGTGCGCGCCAAAATGATAGAGAAACTCAGTTTTTCTGGATTTATTCTTTTATGGTTAGGTGGGCCAATCCGGCATAATGCATATATGCAATTACATGATGGACCCATACTATCACCACCATAACTTAGGACTAGCCATGGCGCCCAATCCAAAAAAATCAAAAAATTCGGACCTTCCCCCTCGGTCGACGCGTCAAAATGATAGAGCCACCGGATTTTTCTCCTCGGTGGTGGCAGGCGGGGATCTATTGGTACTGTAGTCTGTTAATATCACTACTGCTATTCATTGCTGATGTGAAAAGATTACTGTAACTACCGGTCATACGGTAGCTTTTGGCAACTTTAGAAAATCTTCCAAATTTTGGCTAAAACTGACCGGAAATAAATTTTCCGACGGTTGTATCCGGGTGGAAATACTTTCAAAAAGTATTAGAAGGGCTATATTGTCTAAAGGGAATCAATATTCGTCGGGATCGTATCGACCATAAACAAAAAATTGTATTATATTACTTTAATAGATGGGTAGGTTCTAAATTAATGTCAATTGTTTATGTATGAGTCTTAGAAGCGGCTCCAGAACTTGTGGTACAATCGTACGAGGACCATAGATTACTATAACAGGACCAAATTTAATAATTCCTTTATTCAAATTGCTAACGGTATTATGAAGTATACCAAGCTTATACCCGAATAACCGACATTTTGGTGGCATTACTAGCGTCAGAATATGATGGCTTCGGGCTTTGAAACGACTAGTGCGCATCTTTTTGTGCGTAACGCAGCATGATTAACTCAATAATAACGTAATGATAAACAACTACAGAGAAACTTTGACGTAGTCATCTAGAGAACCAGAATTGCTTCTCTTGTGGTATTATTCCTAGGGTGTACGAGACCATACAGCCTTTCCAGGTTAAATGAAAATATTCTACATCGTGTGTTGCAGTCTAGCAGGAAGTTTGGTTTTACCTCCATGCTCCCTCATTGGCATAATTGACATTATTATAGAACCTGCCCATCTACTAAAGTAATATAATATCATTCTCTGTTTATGGTCGATGCGATCCCGACGGATATTGATTCCCTTTAGAAAATATAGCTCTTCTAATACTTTTTGAAAGTATTTCCACCCGGATTCAACCATCGCAAAATTTATTTCCGGTCAGTTTTAGCCAAAACTTGGAAGATTTTCTAAAGTTGCCAAAAGCTACCGTATGACCGGTAGTTACAGTAATCTTTTCACATCAGCAATGAATAGCAGTAGTGATATTAACAGACTACAGTACCAATAGATCCCCGCCTGCCACCACCGAGGAGAAAAATCCGGTGGCTCTATCATTTTGACGCGTCGACCGAGGGGGAAGGTCCGAATTTTTTGATTTTTTTGGATTGGGCGCCATGGCTAGTCCTAAGTTATGGTGGTGATAGTATGGGTCCATCATGTAATTGCATATATGCATTATGCCGGCTTGGCCCACCTAACCATAAAAGAATAAATCCAGAAAAACTGAGTGGCTCTATCATTTTGGCGCGCACTGTATATTTATATATATACAACGTAGCCTGCATTTAGCAAGCGAACGATGAACTTGTTGAATCATTTTGAATATTCGCTTTTACTTGTCCCACTCTTGCTCTTCATGGTGACGGTGAACGCGTTGGAGTCCTCAACTTTGAACATGGAGCACTTGAGGAGCCCGCACGACAAGATTCGCAGTTGTTGGACAAACGCTATGCGATATTCTCGGCTGCAAAAACGACAGTTTTAATACAAGATACAAGCTGTGTTAAAGTTCCAAGTTTGGTATTTTCATAAAGTGCATGGACATTATCAGTCCGTCGGGAAAATAACGGGGGTCGTCGCATTCGAAGTACAGTGTATCGCCTTGCCGAGACAGATTACATTTTTTTCGCTTTCGCACAGTGCATTTCAAACTTTTTCCACGCGTGTCGCCAACGCACAGTGCAGTTTCTCTTTTCGCACAGTGCAAGCCTACAAAAGACTGTTTGCACTGTGCGAAATTACAGCTCCAATGCCGCGACGAAATGATGCTTGCTTGCCTTGTCGCAGCGATATTTTTCGATGCACAGTGCGGAAACCAAAGAAGAGGGTGAAATGCACGTTTTTTTTGGGAGGAATTTTTTTTCGCCCGCAAATGGACTTTTCGATGCCCGCAAATTTTCGCGGTTCGCGACCGCAAATTAAATCGAAATCTGCCCGCACTTTTTCTGCCCGCAAATTATAAAAATGTTATGAAACGCCTGGAATATGGATAATTAGTCAAATTTGTGTAAATACGGTGTAATTAATAAATTTACATATGTAAAAGTGCATTTGACAAAAAATTTTTTGAGAAGTGTTTCTAATCCATGATTTCTGGGATAAAATTTCAAATAACGGAATGATACCATGTTTTTGGACAAAGCTAATGAATATGGAGTCCAAATCAAGTTGTTATACAGGGTGTTTCAAGAAATTCCCCGGAAAGTAATCGTCGATTTCTTAGCGCTCAGTCAAGATATCCAAAAAAATTCTTTTGCATAATAAAGAAGAATATGGGCGGTTTTTTGCCTGTGAAAATAATTTTCTCCGTCAACGCGGAAAGCAGTGTATTCGGCGGAGACTTTCGGGCGCTTTTTTGGTCATCACACGAATTTTTAATGCTTTATTCCGACACTGAAGCATTCAGAAAGTCTTCAAATTTTTTGCACAATGCTTGATTTGGAAAAATTTTTTGATTTGCGGTCATCCATAATTTTTTGGAACTTTTTTTGCCCGCAAATTTTAATTTGGATTTTTCTACTGAAAAATCGGTGTCACTGGCCGTAAAAGTGTCGTAATGTGGCTTACGGAACTCGTTTTTTCATCACAACTACTTTCGATTGATTTAGAAGCTTTTTTCAGATTTGCGGGCATTCAAAAAATTTTAGAACTTTTTTGCCCGCAAATATTTTTTCTGTCAAAAATCCGTTTTCCTGCAAACAAATTGGCCTCAAATTGCCACAAAATGATCATAGTGCCTAATCTTGTCGTAGTAATCAAAATTTTTTCATTACGGTGGCTTACGAAAGGTTTTGGAGCATTTTTTTATTTGCGGGCATCCAAAAGTTTTCAAACTTTTTTGCCCGCAAATTTAAATATGAATTTTTCTACTGAAAAATAGGTGTCACTGGTCGTGAAAAGTGTCATAATGTGACTTATGGAAGATAACAATGAAGATTTTTACATTGGTAATGCCTGAGGACCCGATTTTCCGATCTGCGGGCATCGAAAAGTTCGTTTAGACAAAAAAAGTTTTGTTCAGCCTTTATAACAACTCGATTTGGACTCCATTTTCATCAGCTTTGTCCAAAAACATAGTATCATTCCGTTATTTGAAATTTTATCCCAGAAATCATGGATTAGAAACACTTCTCAAAAAATTTTTTGTCAAATGCACTTTTACATATGTAAATTTATTAATTACACCGTATTTATACAAATATTTGACTAATTATCCATATTCCAGGCGTTTCATAACATTTTTATAATTTGCGGGCAGAAAAAGTGCGGGCAGATTTCGATTTAATTTGCGGTCGCGAACCGCGAAAATTTGCGGGCATCGAAAAGTCCATTTGCGGGCACCGAAAAGCACGTCCTTTTTTTGCGTACGATGCAGGGCGCGGCAAGATATCCATGCGCTTTATGAGAATACTATACGTCTCTCTTGAAAATAATGAGCACCCTGTTGCATCGGAAATCGCATCGCCGGCGAGAAAGTGAATTGTGTCGCGGCAAAATCAAATTGCTTTTCCACTTCAGCGATACGATCAGAGAAGCGAAATTGTGCTCATTATTTTCCCGACAGACCGATAATATTATGCAAAAGCTCCTACCTCATGCCAAAGTAGATCAAATAATTCATCGTCACACTCGTATTCAAAATTGCCCCATTGTAGATGATGATGATCGGGGTCACTTCGATCCCGACCGCATTCAAAACCGTGGCCAGGTTCATCGTGAAGAACCATCCGCCCACGCCGCACAGACTGGCCGTGGTGATCGTGCGGAGCAGCTGCTTACTGCGCGAGTAGTTGCTCTTCTTCACCACGATCCAAATCAGCCCGTACACCAGGAATGTGGAGGTGTTGAGGCTGGCGTTGACTTGGAAGAAAAGAGCCATCCCAAACGGGTCGAGTCCGCCGGTGATGACGCACGGACTGATCTTGCTTGGGTCGAGCAACATACGAGTGTAGGCAGAGATGGACATTGCCACCGGGATGGTGAGGCCAATCGAGACGAGAGCGAAGATATACCCGGGCTTGCTCATTTGTTCGTAGCTGAAAAGTGAGCGGGTCAAAGAAATTTCAAAGACATTTTTTAAGCCTATATTTGATTTGCGCTACGAATCCACATTATTTTCCCGACAAGGATAACTATCAGTTTGTCGGGAAAATAATGAGCACAATGTCGCATCGAAAATCACATCTCCGCCGAGAAAATGGGCTCTGTCGCGCCAAAAAAATTGTTTTTTTTACTTCAGCGATGCGCGGCGATATTGTGCTCATTATTTTCCCGACAGACCGATAGTCATCCTTGTCGGGAAAATAATGTGGATTCGTAGCGCCTTCGAATCATCTTATTGCGACGGCGAGTCGCAGCTGGAATATTGTTTTCTGCGACAAATCCACACTATTTTTTCGACAGACTGATACAGTCCTTCTGGAATTGTCGGACTGAAATTGGCGACTGTGAGAAAAAAACAAAGGTTCAATAAATCGTGTAAGATGTGCGGTTTGCAGCACTACATATATCCGTTTGTCGGGAAAATAATGTGAATTTTTCGCAACAAAATTTTCCGTCTTGTCGCAGCCGCACATCATATGTATTTCCAGTCGCGGCAAGCAAAGCGACAAGGCACTACGACCTATTTTTGTGACAGACCGATAGTTATCCTTCTGTCGGGAAAATAATGTGGATTTTTCGCAAAAAAAAAATTCTGTCTAACTACCAAAAAAAGATTCAAAAAAAATTTTTCTTTGCCCGAAGGGCCTTTTTTAAAACTTCTTGTACCTAGCTTAGTACAACTACTGCACTTACAAGACTGGTTTGCCAATGCAGATCAGCCGGTCCAGGCCCAGAACCAGCAGCATTACCGACCCAAAATTGGAGCAGAACACGGGTACGCTTTGGATCCAAAAGCATTCCTCAAACGTTGTGACAGTCTCGTTGAAGTAAAGGAAGGCCCAAATTAAGTGGGCCCATTGGTGAAGAACGTCGGTTATCGCGGTGATTGTTATGAGGACGTTGCAAGAGGAGCGGAGCTTTCTGAAATCACACACTTACTAGTCTTTACACAAAATGCGTAGACTTTGTTCTGTAGCTCAAAAAACATGCTTGTATGCACGTTTTTTGCCCTACGTTGCGCGATTGTCATTTTTCGGAGCGACAAATCATTTTTTTTCAGAATGCGACAAGATCCGGGGAGCGTTAAATTCGCAAGACTTTTTGAGCACGATGTCGCTACGCCAAGCGCGTTGCTGAAGTGAAAAAAAACAATTTGATTTTGTCGCGGCACAATTTATTTTCTAGGAGGCAATGCGATTTTCGATGCGACCAAGTGCTCATTATTTTCTCGACAGACTGATAGAAAAAAAGTTTTTGATATTGCATTTCTTTTTCAAAATTAAAAAAAAAGTTACCATATGTCCCATACTGATATATAGGGACCTATGGAGGCCTGAGTTCACTTCACACTACCTTCTTAAGCATATACTCTACAGTAATCGTCAAATCACTTACTTTTTTTGAAACGTCGCCCAAGCAATGTTGGCGTTCCCAAAAATTCCCAGCGCCGATATCGAAGCCAGCAAGATTGTCGGCGTCGTCATTGTATTCAAAGTCACCATAATGCCTGTAAACAGCATATTTTAACCCTCTTTACAATAGGCACGTCAATATGTAAAGTATAAAGAGGGTTGACAAAACATCGGCTACAAATCTTGGACAATGATCTTTGCTCCGCGACACGTTCGGGGATTAAGGGCAACCTCCACACTCAACGATCAGAGAGAGGTTATGACCAGAAATTTAGTGTCCCTTGGAACTAGAGAAGCTACAGACAGACGCACGCTAAAACAGACAAAATCGTATACGTCTACAAAAAGATGTCATCTGTTGTAGGCCTTGTTTGTCAAACCCACGCCTTCCTCATTGTCCTTCATATATAAAACTAGAATAAATACTACGTGACACCTTCATTGATACTACGAAAAATGCACCCCGAAAGAGCAACATGACTCATTAAAGAACGCTATCCATCATTTATGAGTAACACCCTCTCCCTACATAGTATTGACTGTGGTTTCATGCCGCAACATTACATGCCAAGGCATAAAAATTATGGATCAGCTGGTCGGAAAAATAGCGAGCAAGCCATGATTAATGTCTGGTCAAAAGCAGGGTTCACAAAAAGATTTTGGCTACGCCCTAAAGTGTAAAGAGCAACTCCTTTATGAGATCATTTGCAGCTACAAAACTTTTTGTAAGGACAAAGTTTGGGATACAAATTCAAAACATGGTAAAAGCAATGTAGACAACGACCAAACCATGCAACAAACCATATGGGACCAAAAATCTGTCCGTTACAAAAAGGCGGCTTCGTTGTATGAAGGCCCGTCTTGGTTGTAAATTGTTTGTAATAGCCTGGTCTCGTTGTATGCGCGTTCGTTTTCAGGAGGTTTTCGGCATGTCTGGAGGATGCCCCAGTGAGAAAAAAGAGGACATATTTCCAGACAACAAGACTTGTAGTAAATCACGACCAATCTAACAAAATCCCAGAAGCCAATTTTCGGCCAATACATGTTGGTAGCAGTCCTTTCAGAAAGTCGCCGGACTGATTTGTTGCGCGTAAAATGTGCGAAAAGAGTCGTGGTGCGAGCGACAGTCAAAAAAACCTGTTGCACGGTGCAGAAAGAAGAAATGTAAACTTCTGTTTTCGCACAGTGCATGTCGCCGATTTCAGTCCGACTTGCCGGGATCTAAAACCGTTTGCACAGTGCAGTTTCGCGGCACTGACGCAACAACGTATAATATATAGTTGAAACTGGCTTATGTCGCAGCAGTACTTTGATTCACAGTACAAAAACCGAATAAAAGACAAAATGCACAGTGCAAAAAGGGGGTTTTGTGTACGGACCGCGACAAAATCTCCATGCACTTTATGAAAACACTACATAATATTAGTCTGCCGGGAGAATAATGAGCACTCTGCTGCATCAAAAATTGCATCATCGCCGAGGAAATAAATTATGTTGCGACAAAATAAAATCTCCTTCAGCGACGCTATCGGCACAGCGCACGTCAAAGTGAGTTACGCTAAAACGATCCGGTGAATGGACTAGGCAGGTCGCCAAAAAAGACGCGAAAAAACTTTCCGTCGTGGAAGAAATGTGGAATTTTTGGGGCGAGAATAAGCATGGCTGCAAACCGGGCCAGCCCGGCCCGGGCTTAAATCTCCAAGCCCGGCCCGGGCCCGGTTCGGCCCGGAAAATTTTTATACTAGGTTGGAAAGAAAGAAAGCGGACATGAAAAGAAAATTATGACAAATTTTTGCAAAATGTAAAGAAAAGTTAGCAAAACCTAGGTACATAAGATCACTTTACGTTTGCTATCAGCACTGTGTTTGAAAAAATGTAAAATTATATCGAAAAAGCTTGTTTTTACTTTTTTTCCGGGCGAAACTCAGATTTCAAAAGAACCGGGCCGGCCCGGGCCGGACCGGGCTTAAAAATCAAAGCCCGGAAGCGGGCCGAGAAATCAGTCGGCCCGGCCCGGGCCGGAAAATTTTGCAAAGCCCGGCCCGCAGCCATGCCTAGGCGAGAAAGTACGTTTTTGCGCGTCTTTTCTCTGACTTCTCTGTGAAATCAAGAAGTGTAAAAAAACCGATAGCGAAGGGTCTATGCCGGTCACCGGACTCCTCAGTTTGACGTGCAGCGGCATTATTCTCATTATTTTCCCGACCGACCAATATAAACCTCGGTGCAACGTGCGCTTTCTGGAACCGGAAACCGAAGGGATGAAGGTTCAACTCCTCGAATCGACAACGCTGGATCACATTGAACGATGGTCTGTAACACACCAAACCTGCCGTAATTGCCCCACAAAGAACGTCTATCCCACGTAGCGGAGATCTTTTCATCTCCCGTGGGGCGTTGGTTAAAAATCTACCAGTTATACATGTTCTGAAATAGAAACTCTCATTATAAACCGCGGGCACAAACCAAATTATCCACCGCCGCTATTTGCTCGAGAGCATGACCTGCGCGTGCATAGAGCAAGGTAATTTCTGACTAACCTTGTTGTGGGTGTACCCTTGCTCTAGTACATGCAGAAAAAACGTCAAACAGAAACGGGTTTGAAAGCACAAGGAATGAATTCGTGTTTGAACCTTGGATCAAACGTGTAGAGCAACAACTGGTTTGTTGTCAGGTTCGCGGAAGTTGTAAATGAAAAGATCAGTGCGACCAGATCACAGGACGAGTAGTTTGGTCAATTTTGAATTAGTGCTTTGTGCCGTAGATAACGAGTGGAATTGCTGCTAGTAATGTGATGATTGGGACAAACAACAGGACTTCTCGCGCCTACCAGCGAAGAGGATGATCACAATGTTTCCTTTATTATTAGTCGCACCATAAAGTCCGTACGCATTTATCGCGAATGCCGCCTACGAAAATTGAGTAAGCTCGGGCGAGAGTTCATGTCGCTAGTGTAAAAATTTTATGGCACGACCAGTAGTACCCCCGGGGAAGAAGTCCTTGAAATTTTCCGTCCCAGATTCCGCCACAGTCGAAAGGAAAATTTTTTCGCCCCACTCCGACTAGAGGTGGCAATCGGGCCGGGCCGGGCCGATTTTTGCGGCCCGGCCCGCGGGCCGAAGTGACCAGGCCGGCCCAGGGCTTTTTCAAATTTGCTCAGGCCCGCTAATACAGAAAAGTTGGATAAAGGTCTTTGCACTTTCTACTGGAAGTTCTTATGCTTTCCAGAAGGGTTTTACGTGTGTCTGCGCGAAATTAAATAGTCTAGTCGGATGACTGGAACATCCGTGCAGGTAGCTAAAACTTACAATTAGCCAAAAAGTTGGATTCTGTTAAATTTTTTAATCCTATAGGAAGTTAGCTATATAAAAGTATGGACGTTATAAGGTACATGGTTAACTAAAAACTGTTTAAACACTTTCATTTACATCAAGGAATCAAAATTACAGTGAAATTTTTAAATTTATCATAACAAAATTCGAAGATTTTTGCCCGACCCTTGCATATTTGGGTGGGATTTACATATACATAATAAGTTACATATACATATACATAATTTTAAAAAGTAGTAAAACAGCGTATAAGTCAAAACAGGTTTAATCTAATTTCCATCCATTCTACAAAGCATTTGTGCTTTATTTTGCTGGTTTAGCATTAAAAATTTTTTACTTATCTGGGGCCGGGCCGGGCCGAAAGCGTCGGCCCGGCCCGCGGGCCGAAGCGGTCAGGCCGGCCCAGGACTTTTTCAAATCTGCTCAGGCCCGGCCCGGCCCGGCCCAATCACCGGGCCCGGCCGGGCCGGGCCGGGCCGGCCCAGCCCGATTGCCACCTCTAACTCCGACAAAAAATTTTATGTCGCGGTGAAACATAAGGAACGCGCGCGACACCTTGCAAGGGGAACGGAAAATTGCAGTGTACTTATTTTTGGGCCGTATGCACGATGCAACATTTTGTGCAACATTATCGAGTTGTCGTACAAAATGCACGGCGTGGAGCCACAGAAAATCCCCATGACTTTTTGCCGTAAGCGGTATCAGTCCGTCGGGAAAATAATGTGGCAAACGTACTGCCCACTCGCGGAACCTTGGGGCAAAAATTCAATTTCTTTTACCGACGTGAAATTTCGAAGAATCCAAAGCATCTACCAAAGTTTTCATACACCCCAACCTTTCAACTTTGATTATTCGTATCTTGTGTCATTCCATACACACGAATAGGGACATAATGAATGGTTTTACTTCCTATGGCAATTATACCTTTTTGAACATTGACGAGACTCGAGAAGATGTCATTCACAACTATTTACATAGTAATAAGCGAAGAAGGATCGAATCGTACCGTGTGTGTCATAATTATAACCGCACTTGAAAAATGACTGTATATTTTGTGCTGTCGGTAGGAACAGGAACGTGTACATTTGAACTCTGTGCAACAAGTCGTACGGTATCAAAGAGGTATGGGGCAGACATGGCTCACTGCTTTTCATTTCAGCGACCTATCGGCGCTGCTATAGAATGCTCACTATTTTTCCGGCAGACTGATAAAAATCGATCATGATGTAACATCCAATTTCTCAAAAACCTTTCATAAATATGCGTGGAGACCTTATGCTAATCAAGATTGTGGCGTTGAAAAGGCGTTTCTCGACTGGGAAACCAATTATTTTTCCAATGAAGTCGACCGTTTTCCTGTTGTGTTCCTTGAGCACGGTGAGTGCGCTGCTCGTTTGGAACGAGTCTAGGACCGTCGATATCCTGCGAAGGGGACATCAGCTCTATAAAAAGAGCGATCTTGGCCATCTGTTCAAGTACGGCATCGTGGAGGACAAATTCAATGAGCTTTTTTTCAAGGGAATTCAAACAGTAAGTCAAGATGGCGCGACGACTTTTCGGGTCAACGACAGTTGGGGTCAACGATGCTATGAATCGCAGTTTTATGCATGGCGGAGGATAGGAGAAGCCTAGAAATAATAAGATAGGTCGGGTGTTAGGATAGCTTATCACCAATTTGGAGGTATTTTACATGTATTCACATCAAAAATGTCTAGATAAAACTTACGGCTCTTCGTTTTTTGCAACAAACTTTGGGCTTGTATATGTTACAATAACTTAATGGTTAGGGTGAAGAAAACCAGCGTTAGTAAAGTTAGATAAAGTGGACATATTGTAAGCCTTCCCCGAGTCTTCGCCGAGCCTTCGCCAAGCGTCGGCCGACCATCCAACGGCTTTGCCAGGCCTTGTAGGTGCTCAATTGTCGAAAGGCACGACAATCCAGTAACCGATCTAGCCAAGAGCTCAAAAGTCAAGTGATTTATTCCCTGAAAAGGACGCCTTTTATAAAGAATTCCACGTAGAAAAGAACAATATAATTTGAATACAGTTTCTTGTGGGGAAAATCCTCGAAGCTCGGTCGTTTCGCCTTACAGTTCTGTACCTTTTTTTTGGTTATGAATAAGCCTTCTCCTCCGTATTGATCGACTTTGTGTTGACCCGAAATGTCGTCGACCCGAAAAGTGTGGTCAAAATATCAGTCTGTCGGGAAAATAATGAGCACTCAGTCGCATCGAAAATCGCATCACCGAGAAAATGAATTGTGCCGCGACAAAATCATATTATCTTTCACTTCAGCGACGCGATCAGCGCAGCAAAATTGTGCTCATTATTTTCCCGACAGACTGATAACCGCGCAACAAGTCTCTTTAGTCGAAACAATTGTCGCTGCAATATTCGCTGGAAAACTTGCACGACGACATTGGAGAAGCAATCTTGTCCGTAACGGACGACTTTGAGAACCCGGATTTCTTGAAACTGCGCAATGCCATATTGATTGAACGGACGGTGGCCGCATCTGCCAGCCTCTCCGAGACCGCGGTCATCCCATTGGACTTGTTGCTTGTGGTGTTTGAAGGAATGTACCGAGGCCCGGTAAGTGGGACTGTACTAGTGTAATATAACATTTTCTAGGAGAGCCGTTACCAAGAAGTTGCCCACCTTCTGACCGCTGTAGCCTCAGCACAGCAGAAGAACTTGGGATACGCACGGCAAAACATTGTCAGATTAGTAGTTAATGTGTTAGAGCTGGGACAGAAGCTGGAATTCAATCCAATCAATGTTATCTACAATCTATTCGGCTTCTTACTAGACGAAAAGAAAGAAAGTGTGGTGGAGTTGGAAAACCAGATGATCCTAAGCGACAAGATTGCGGCAATAAGGGCAGCTCTGAGGGAGCATGGTGCCGCGGACAAGCAACTTGATCCTGTGTTGCGCAACTTGGAAGAACTGATCAACAAAAAGTTGGAACAGGTGCAAACCTACGAATATATAGTCGTAAGTCTTAGCGGAACCGACAGCGTGACAAGAGCTCGAGTTCAAGTGATTTATTGAGTGAAAAGCGGTATATAGGGAAATCCCACGTAGGAAAGTACAATCAAATTTGAATAATAAATGGTGATTTCCATGGGAATTCGGGCTCGTAGTGCGGTCGTTCCGCCTCATAAATTCCAAGGGCTCTTCAATGAGGTGTGCCATTGTCACTTGGTGTGAATCAGTTTTTACAGTTCCTCAGTAATGAGAGAACGTTTTGTGGGTCCATTTTTGAGCTGAGATTGTGATAAAATCTTAATGGTTATTTCCACAATAGACTGATACAAACAGGCTTCGTTGTATGGTTGTTTATTGTACAAAGCCTTCACTGTTCGCTGTAAAACACAAACTGGCTTCAGGTCGACCGGGAAGGAGCCGTAGCGTCTCGAATCTATGAGGATAGTCACCCGCATGGCGCCTATATCGAGAAGGACGAGTTCCTTGATATCTACAGGGCAGCGAGAGACACTGTAAGATATTGGCAGTACCGTAAAGCACATACCTTTAGGTAGTTTCCTTAAGCCGTCGCTTCCCATTGCTAAAATACATGGCGGCAAAAGATTCCCAGCTCATTCTGGCGATGCCGAAGAAGGATGCCAGCAGCAGCGAGGATTTCAACTACTACGTCGAGAAATTCTTGAGAAATCAGCGCAGTGCCGCCGTGGTTCAAGGCGCCTCTCCGCTGGAAGTACTGCCATTGGATCTGGAAATTGCCGCATTCTCGATGATAAATATGAACAACGTAAGTGCATAATAGCCCGTTGGTCACTGCAACGGCTCTGCGAAGGGACCAGCATATAATACATACTATATAACACAGAATATACTACAATGTTATACATAGCTGAGCCTACAAAAACAGCAAGTGGGCAAAGAATTTTCTTCATTATAGATTATTATTATAGAACACTCTCGTTGTATGGGAGACACCGTTGGATAAACGCCGACTCTTGTGGCGACCGACATTGCTCGTTATAGACAAGCCTCTTCGGCAATATTATCTTTTTAGAACACGTTCTACGGACAAGTCACAAACCAAGTCAACGCTATTATCAACGAACGCCACCTTATGTGCAAAATTCCTCGCACAATTTTAATCGACTCTGTCCTCAAACTTTTGAAAATCGGGCAATCCGTCAAGTTCAATCCAAACCCCTTAATTGAGGATGCGTTTAAGTTTGCGGTGAAGCAGAGAAAAAGCGTCACAACGAAGAAGAATCAAAAGATTTTGGGAAAGAAGTTGCGGGCAATCAAGGACGCTTTGAAGAAGCGGGGCTTGTCCAAAGAGGCAGAAAAAGCTCTCGGAAATATTAATATTTTGTGTGGAGAGCCGGAGGGCGACAGACGTTAATTTTGAAAATCGCTGGAAAATTAAGAAATAAAGTATGTTGAAGATGCAGCAGGAATGAAGAGTTTTGAATATGTATAGTGAGGGACCTGATCAGTGGCAAAAAACGAACCATTTTGCTTCCGTAAGGTATCCAAAATGTAGCAAAATACCTCCCTCTCCGACTAAAAAAAAGAAGTTTTGAATATGTGCAGTGGTGGGCCTGATTCAGTGGAAAAAAACGAACCATTCTGCATCCGGAAAGTATCAAAGATGCAGCAAAATACCTCCCTCTCCAACTAAAAAACTCCGTCTTGAGGAGCGCGCCCTTACCCTCGAAAATAAATCTGAACGTCGCAACTCCTGACAAGTTTTTTATAAATTTCAAAAAAAAACTGCATGGTATTCATGATTATTCATTCAAAATTGCCAATCGACCCAAAGATATTATATAATATTGGAGGTGTGATATAAAATAAATGGATGGCCGTGGAAACAATTTCCATTCGCAATGAAGTGTCTGTTCCTCCTCTTGTCCATCGCGGCTGTGAATGGCGACGAGCCATTGGTAAGTAGTTAATTTTAGGATGACACTATCAGCTTGCCGAGGAAATATAATGAGCACTCTGTCGCATCGAAAATCGCATTGCCGACGAGAAAATGAATTGTAGAAAATAATGTGTATTTCTTGCGCTTTGGAATACCTCACCATCGTTTCAGTGTGTCGGGAAAATAATGTGGACTTCTCGCAGCAAAATATCTCGCCTTGTAGCAGTCGCGCACCAAATTATCCGGCAGCGGCTTACCGTCGCAAAAGATGATGGGCGGCTCCAATTGTGACGAATCCACATTATTTCCCCGACAGACTCTTATTTTACCAGCTGAAACTTCTGCATCGTATAAAATGTCACCGGCAATCTGCAAAAAAACGGGCAGTCTGCAAAAAACTTCTGCATCGTATAAAATGTCACGAGCAGTCTGCAAAAAAACATAAAATGTCATCGCCAGTCTGTAAAAAATCTTCAAGTAGCATATTTACCCTAGCAATTGTTTCAGGAAAACCGCCTTGAGAAGAAAGCGTTGGCGCTGTATGACGCAAGCGACATAAAAAGCGTAATTGCACGGGAAAAGTACCTACAAAACTTTAAAAATGGACAAAAGAAAGTGAGTGCGCAGTACAACTACAATCTCCCATGCAGTAAAGCCTCTCTGTAACAAGTAATTTTAGTTGCACAAAGTTGCCAAACTCCCTGATGCAAGGCTGAAAAAGGCGGTCCGTTTGATCGAAAAAAACCTCGAGGAAGCGGTGATAGATTTCGACAAAAGCATCGACGTCGCCCACGTTGCGGCCATGATGCATGCCTTTCGAGATTTTCTGGTTTCCGATCACAACGTAACTGAGTTCGACGTGCTGCCGATTGACCTGGAAAACGCGGCGTTCGCGGCGATGGATCGGACCGCGGTGGGTGCTATACAAAGCGTAATACGTATGGGCTTTCAGGATAGTGTGTATCAGAGTTTCGCCGCCCAGTTGACGAATGTGGTGAGTGCACAAAAGAAGAGCTTCCAATACACCCGCCAGACAATCCTCTCCATTGTGAACAACGTCCTGCAGCTCGGCCAGCCCGTCAATTTCAATCCGCTGCGCTTGCTGGCAGATGTGTTCAAATTTGTTAGCCTGGCGCTTGATGTTACATCGCTCGAAAGCCAAAAGATTCTGAATCAAAAGATCAGGGCGGTCCGAACGGCGCTGAAGGCGCATGGTGTCAAGGACGGGGACATAGCAAACAATCTGCTCGAGCTTGAGACAGCAATCAATGGGAATCTGTGAAATGCTTTTTTTGAAATTGCCGTTCAATAAAACTTTTTATGAAATGCGTTGAAAATTATGTGCAATTGCTTTGTCGGCAAAAAAATCTTTTTCCCCCAAAAGTCGGACCTCGGTACTATCTGCCTTTCGAGAAATTGCATCGCCACCGAGAAAATGGACTGGTCACGGCAAAACGATTCATATAGTATTGCTTTTCAACCCAGAGGCGCGATTGGCGCAGCAAAACTGTGGACTGCATTGCCGCTACTTTGCCGAAAAACTGATAGCTTCAACTACGTTGGAGTGACGTGCAAAGCCCCATCAAAAACAGTCACGGGTGCTTCCTCTGTAAGATCGAAAATTACCGTAAAGTAACACTTCAATTGATGATAACAGTATGTAAATCAATTGGTAGCCCAAAGGGACCTCATTGGGTGCCTATAGACATATCAGTCTGTCGGGAAAATAATGAGAACTCTGTCGCATCAAAAATCGCATCGCCACAGGGAAAATTACTTATGTCGCGGCAAAACCAAATTGATTTTCACTCCAGCGACGCGATCGGGGACACTGTGCTCATTATTTTCCCGACAAAACTTGCGAAAAAAGTCTACGCACTTTATGGAAAGAGAAGCGACTGTGTGATTTCAGAAGACTCCGCTCCTCTTGCAACGTCTTCACAACAATAACCAATGTTCTTCTGCAAAGAAAATTTCACAGGCTATGTTATAAAAAACGAACGATCAGAATTTGCATTTTATTGAGATGTGACTCTTCTATGTCCAGCATTCGATAAACCGCATTTTTATTGCATGTAAATTGGGGCCGGCTGAGGATGAAGACGCTCCTGTTTGTTCTACTCTTACAAAGTTTTCTGCTGGTATGTGTCATCCATATTTCAATGCAGTTATAGAGCGTGGCGGTAGAGAAAACGGAGGACGAGCTGTTGGCGGAGAAATGCGGGCAGATCCTGCGGGCCGCGAAAAGGCAGACGTCGTACGATTCGTTCGCGGAGATGGTGCTGGCTTTCAAGCATGATGTAAGTGGGGCTAGAGAGCGTTTAATATATAGGAGAATAAGTCCTGTGAGATGTAAGGTTTGCAGCACTACATATAATACATTTGTATACCAGTCCGTCGGGGAAATAATCAGCACAATGTCGCTGCCCCGATCGTGTCGCTAAAGCAAAAAGCGAACACAGTGTTCAGAATCATCTCGACAGACTGAACGCAGCGAGCTATAAGAGCTATAAATGCGCATGAAGCTGGTTTTTAGGACCGATTGGGAAATTTTTTTTTCTCTTTTTTTTTGTTTTGCTTGCGCATCCGCCTATCCGAAAAAAAGGCCCCCCCCCCATAATGAAAAATTAGAATAATACGAAAAATGCAAATTATAGTAAAATGTAAATTCTGAAACGATTCAATCAAACCTCCTACGTTTTGATTCAAACTGTTATCCAAAGCGCGTTACAACATTCCTTCTCATCAAGCTTTTCTTGAAGGTTTCTGGGTTCAGATTGTATGTGAAGGGTTTGTAATGGGCCATGCGGGTCTGAGCTGGACTCGGGGTCTGTACTACCCCCATATCAGTCTGTCGAAAATATATGAGCGTAATGTCGCTGTGCCGATCGCGTAGCTGAAGCAAAAAGCAACTCGATTTTACCGCGACAAAATTCATTTTCTCACCGGCCATGCAGTTTTCAAGGCGACAGAATGCTCATAATTTTCCCGACGGACTGATAGTATAATCGTTTTCTCCTTTCAGGCCACAACGCTTGCCAACGAAAACGGCCTGAAGACCCAAGTTGGCCCATTGATCAAGAATGCAACAGAAAGATTCCTGTCATTACCTGAATCGGATATACTGGGAAAGAAGCTGATGGAATTTATCGAGACCCTCAAGCAAATACGAAAAATATTGATCTCGAAAGCGGATGCGGTAGAGCTTCTTCCCTTCGACATACCAATTCATTATCTCCTCATTCTATGCAAGGTAAGTTGTTAAGAAAACGAAACGCCATGCTTTTCAATGCGACAGAGTGTCATTATTTTCCCGACAGACTGATATTCACTATAATATCCTGGTTTAAGGAGAACGGCGACATACTCGGGTCACTCCAAAAAATTGAACAAGTTTCACATCTGAATGGCACAATGTTAACCAACCGCTTTATCAACCTCTTCACCACATCATATCAGCTCGGAGAATACTTGAATTTTAATCCCTCCGAGGAAATGGAAAAAGTAATCGACGCCGCTTTCAAGCTCGATGTAACGAATATTCTTGGCAAACCGTATGATGACTTTATCGCCTCGATTCGAGGACTCCGCAATGCGTTTATCGATCATAAGGCCAATCCCAACACGCTGGAACGGCTGGATGTTTTCGTGAGAATCTTGGAGAAAACAAAAAATTCAGGTCAAAACGTGACGCCTAAATAGAAATAAATGAGGTATTATGTAGTGATGAAGGCCGGAACATGCTTCTCGTAATTTTTTCTTTTAATTTTGGTACAATATTTCGGCACATGTTGTTCTCATGCTTTCAACAATCTGAATAATCTATTCTAATTCCACCCCTTCCTTTCGTTCAAATTCGAAGGTTCAAAACTTGAACAAACGAATAGAGAGAGCTTTGTCACAAGCCATATCCACAACCTCTACGGATTCGAAAGTTTCGTAGCGGCCGCTCCCTGGAACGAACAGTTCCAAAAATTGACAGAGTCTCCGATCTACAAAGTCTTCTTCTATAACTTATACCGTAAACATTCTGCCGCTTCAAATGAGTTGCCACACCGGAAAATTAGCAACAGTTACAATTGAAGTGCTTGAAGTTCGACACTCATATTCTTTAAAAATTTTGCACGCATGTCGGGCAAGGATCATGTACCAATGCCTGAAAGTTTTAGTTCGCGCTTTACATGCGCAGCCAAGAGATTGAACAATTTTTGCGGCCAAGAGAGTACGCGAAACGTAGAGAGCAGTCAGGAATAAAACAACTATTTGGCCGCCCTTTAGCCGGGTTTGCATGGAAAATATTAACTTTCGGGTAAAAGTATTGCCCTCTACAGAAACAGCAGGGATAATACATTTCATGCCAAGGTTTGTCAAAAAAGTGCCACATTTTCGCCAAGCTCTACCTTAAAAAAACCCCGGTCGTTTCTGCAAAACATAGAAATCTGCATTTGTATTAGAAAAATTAACCTGAATTTGTGCCAAGTTTTCGTGAAAATCTGCGCGCCGCACTTGGGATACTTCCTCTGAGAATGCACACATTGTATGGCTTTCAATTTGACTTTTTTCAATGCAATTCCACGAAAATCTTGCATAAAAATGCGTATGATAATAAGCAAGTTTTCTCATTTCGTCGCTGATCTCTTTTTCCCGTTAAAACTCTGGCTGCAAGCGCAATGTTCGCCAAAAACAAAGGTTTCCACGAAACGCCTTTCTGATTATTCAAATCGTTCGCTCCAAGAATTCCGCGCTTGTTTGGTAAAGTCGAGTTTGGGCTAGGTTTGTATGTAAAGTTCACGGTGCACTGCGACAGTGCAAAGAAATGTTATGAGAAGGGTAATCGAAAGCACAACGCGTTCTTTTTTTAAAAGAAATAACAGCTTTAAAGTCCGAAGAAGCTGTTGCAGAACACCGTTATTGGTATGTCTCCTGGTACGCCTCCTGCACGTAGTTCCGGCGGTCGGCTACTTTAGTACTCTTTTATTTATATTATATATGCAAACCTGAGGTTCCAGCCTACAATCTTAGCGGCCAAGAGAGTGTGAGAAACGTGGAGGACTGTCACAGAGTAATCCCACTTTTTGGCGATATTTTCGCCAGGTTCATACGGAAAAAATTGTTTTTTATGGAAACTTATTTATATGGAAGTTTATGTACGCCTTTTAAATCCAAATCCGTGGGCTGATTATTTTTATTACCACGAACTTTTGAGGTTCCTTAATTTTGTGTACGTTTTCAAATTTATCCCCGGATCGAATACGTATTTATTTGGTCAGCCTTTCTAGGGCTTTCGACTAAACTTCTGGCCCAATTTGCGCAGCTTTCCCGGATTCATCGATACCGTTGAGTGCTGTTCAATTCAACAAAACCCACAACTATGACTTCTATTTTGTCCCCGGGCCGAAACGTTCCGGGAAGCCAGCAGGTTTGCAAACACTCAAGGCCACAAGATTTTCGGGGCTTCTTTTTATCGCTATATCAGTTCTTACTACTGTTTGCGCTCAGGGAGTTGTAGGCTTTACTGGAAGGGTTAGCATTTCCCGATCAGACGAATGCAAATTTGGAAAAGCAGAGAACTGCAAGCGGGAAAGCCTGTTGAAAAGTTGGAGCTTAACCGGGAAGGAAGTGAAAATAGCGAAATAAAAGGAGAGGTTGTGGATGCAATAATTTTCATTTGTTTTTGTTACATTTATGGCTTTATTTGGGGTGCGCTTGTCTCGATTTTTTAAAAGGCACCCAAATTTGGTGCGCAACTGTACCCCTTTTTGGAAAGATTTTGCTGCGGGAATCTGCCGTTATTTTCCCGACGGACTGATATTTCATTTTTTTGAAAGGTACCCTATTGCTCAAGGGTGCCTTTCCCGGGCATTTTCAAACCTAATGTCATGATACCGTGAAGAATTCCCAGAAATTAGCGTAAACCGACGAATATCGATCGCTTTTCGGTCACTCGTTTGGGAAAATAAACCAAGCATTGTAATTTGTTGGAAGTCCTTTCGATACAGTCCGGTGGTGTCCAAGCTCATTGGAATCAAATTATCGTGAATTCGCAGTTTTTCAGCTAGAATTTTCTAGTTGTTGTCTCCAGCTAATTTCTGGGAATTCTTCACGGAATCGTGACACTGCCGGCCCGGCCCAAATCACTGGCCCAATCACCATGCCACCTCTTCTCGGGGCAAAAATACGTGATAATTTTCATAGTGCAATTTTATAAATTTATGTCAAGTTTCATCTTGCGGTGTTCCCCTATAGATCCATTCCAAGTTTTTATCAAAATTTTTACATCTGACATCAACAACGTCAGCTATAACTTTTTTTTTCAAATCCAGGGCGTCCCAAATTTACTCATCATGTTTATTTTTATCTCCTATTTACCACGAGTTTCTCAAAAAAACCCAAAAACCAATTAATTAGTCGTTTTCGTAACAATTCCCCGCTATAATTTGCACATAATCCCTACATCTACGACATTGCGAACTGACTCATCGCTAGACATCCGCTCCGATTATCCCTATTAATACCGGGCGGTTGGCCGAGAATACGGCCCGCTGACGCTGAATACCGTAGCGTTGCAGCGGGATTCGGGCGGATTAGCCGGCTAAATTTGCTCGCGCCAACTAAATAAAGCATTCGTTTTACGTGGGGCCTGCGGCGATAATATGTATTCGAGAATCAATTTGGCGGATTATGTGTAAATAGAGTCGGTGACGACAATTGATCGTAGTTTGTGGATTTATTAGTTTGTTTTTTGGGGTAATTTGGGGCTATGAATGTTGTAATTGGGCGATTTCGGGGGAAATTGAGAAGTTCTAAGAAGTTTGCAGAGATATTAGTAATGTTTTACTTTCTTAAAGTGCATGGACATTTTTTCTCTTTCGCACAGTGCATTTTGGACCTTTTCCCACGCTTGTCGCCAACGCACAGTGCATTTTCGCTTTTTCGCGCAGTGCAAACCTCAAAAACGCTGTTTGCACTGTGCAAATTATCGGCGCTGCCGAAGCGACGCAGACAAAAAACCTCGTGTCGCAGCGATATTGCACAGTGCAAAAACCAAAAAAAAGTGGAATGCACGGTGCAAAATGAGAGTTATTTTTTTGCACGGTGCAGTCTTGACGAAATGTCCAAGCACTTTATAAAAACACTGATAACAGTCTGTCGGGAAAATAACGTGGATTTGTTGCGCCTTGGAATCGCTACGGAATGCCAATGTGTTATTGCAAGTGGGGTTAAAGAGGACTCAAAAGGTGGTTTCAGGCCTAAATGAGAGCCTGTAAAACAAAAACTTTCTATAAAAATTGCACTTTTCGTTTTTGTGCATTGCATAGGGATAGTTTCTGTTGTTGACTTGCTTGTTGTTTCCAAGGGGAAATCAATTTTCGACGCTCAGATTTTCTGTACACTTTTCTCGCACGATTATATCAGTCTGTCGGGAAAATAATGAGCACCCTGTCGCATGAAAAAATTGCCGAGAAGATGAATTGCGTCTCTGCAAAATCAAATTGCTTTTCACTTCAGCGACGCAATCGGCCCAGCGACATTGTGCTCATTATTTTCCGGACACACTGATTCACTAACACGGTCTCATAGTCACAAACAGCTACGTATCGTTCGGCACGCAAACATAATAGTCAGCGTTTCTATCCGAAAAGGGCGCAATTTTGAACCTTCTAATTTGACTCATGTCTGCAACATTTCCCCAAAACACTCTAGACACGCAACATTTTTTGTATTACGGTACCGTTACATTTCGAGTTTGTTTACAGCTTGAACATAACGTTTTTCATGTCCATGCGCCACAAGACCATTCTCCTTTTCGAGATGGTGTAATGTCAACATGTATACGAGGGTGACTGTAAAACTTTTGGCTTTTGTCTGTCCTGCAAAAAATACAACATGTGTAATGTTTGCCTGCCATTTTTGTAATGTCAAATGCTTCATTCTGAAAATTGGTTTGCACACTGTGGTATGAAATGTGACAGTAAAATGAGTTCGAAAAGTTTTTGTTGATGTGTGATCAATGACATGTTAGTTTTTCGAAAATACTATAGTTGGTTTCTACAAAGTTTTTAAGGTCGAAAGTGGGCAAAAAATTATCGCTTTTTTTGCGAATCATGGCGTGAGAAGGGTTTAACCTTTGTTTTTACCGTAAAAGGTGATGTTTCCAGAAGAAACATATGTGTACATTTTTTCCACGAAATGATGCAAGATATAGTAAAGTGGTGTTTTTAGACCACTTTCCGTGTTCCGTACTCTGTATCGTCGACAAGGATCGTTGAATATTTTTGGATCTATTACAGGGCGGGCCAAAAAGACATCTTGTCACAATTTGCGGGCGCATGCATTCGGCGTTGCGGTGAGGTGTCGCGTCGGCGGGCTGTGAAAGAAGAGTGCACTGTGCTTTGGTCACCCTTTTCAAAACAACTTTTTTTTGCACTGTGCGGGGTCGCAGTGCGCCCTTAATTTTACCTTTCGCCGCGCGACAAGTTTCTCGCACGACGGCCCGCTGTGCAGACATGTCAGGACTTTTTGACCCGTTTAGTACGTATAAAGCGCGTGTTAAAGTTTCAGAAACTGCAACGTGGCCTGTGCCCAGTTTGTGTGCAAATCTTAACGGAGTACTTTGGTCGATTCTCTTGTAGATAATCTCTGCACTAGATCTAAAACCAAGTCTTTCGAGTCATAAGCTGTCCCAAAATGTTTTGCCAGGA